CCACCAAGTCAAGCAGCCCCCTCCGCCAACGTTGCCGTAAGGGACGAAAGCGCCCTTCCAGCCGCCCCCCACCCTAAAAGGAGGCCGCCTAGAGGATGAGCGACGTGGTACGGCGCCGTCCCTCCCCCTGCTCGTCACGCCAGCCACGCCGTTCTCCCCGCCGCTACACCCCCCCCCCCCCTCCGGGCCGCCCGCCTAACCGCCGCCACACGTTCGCCGCCCTCATGTCCGCTCTCACCGCCACGTCTTGCCGCAGGTACTCACGCTGCAAGCGCGGCAGGAGGCGCTGCTTGGCGGCGCCGGCTTTGCGGCGCCCCCGACCTACCTTGTCACCTCGACGGTGGACGACCCTAGAAGCGGAAGACGTAGTCTTATCTTCCAACTAGCGCTCGAGGGGACGCGCGTTCCGCTGTACTCGACCGTATTCCGCTGTATGCACTGCATTCGTCTCCGTTGTACTCACGCGGTGCTCTGAGGACTCTGCACAATACCGTCTTCCCGCCCTGACCTCGGTGTGTCAATGACGTCTAGGCCGACGACTGCATCCCGCGCTCCGAGACGCAGCCTTACGTCAAGGCGCTCGCCGCCGCCGGCATCCCGCACGTGCACTTGCGCAAGGACTTTGGAGACCACGGCTTTGCTCTCAACGGCGGCTGGACGACTCCCTGCGTCAAGTGGCTCACGCGTGCCGTCGGGATGCGCGCTGCCCCGCCGCTGCCGCCGCCGCCGCCGCTGCCGCACCGCGTTGCCTCGAAGCCTCGCGGCCCGAACATCGGCGGCGGCGCCGCCGCCGCCGCCACAGGCGTTGCCGCCGCTGCCGCTGTCGCGGGGCCTTCGAGCGCTGCTGCGCCCGGGGCGCAGCTGACGGCCGAAAAGGTGCTGGTGGATGTGGACGCGGCCGAGGAGGCGCCTCCCGCTAGTCGCGCCTCACCGCCGCCTGCGTCGCGGCCGCCCGCCGCCGCCGCCGCCGCCGCCGCCGGCCGAGGCGCCAAGCGGGCGCGCGGCGGCGGCGGCAATGGCGGCGGCGGTGCCAAGCGACGAGGCGGCGGCGAGGCGGCGGCTTCGCGTGCCGGAGGCTCGACCGCTGCGGCCACTGCAGGCGCACCGCCCGGGGGCGGCAAAGCCGCTGCGCGACCGGACGAGCGCGAGCAGGGCTCCTGCCCGCCCCGTGGCAAGGCCAAGGCGACGCCCCCCCCCCCCCCGGGCAACACACACACACACAGCCCACCCAACTAATACCCTCCCACCACTGCCGCCGGCGGCGACGCCTACGGCGCCCTACCCCCTCTCGGTCACAGCCCGCCCTCTCGTCACCCCCTCTCGCCACAGCCCGCCCTCGCCCTCACACGCGGGGCTCGCGCCGTTGCACTGCAGGCGCGCTCCTCCGATGTGCCGCTGGCGAGGTCGCAAGGCCCCATTGCCAAGGGCCCCCCTCCAACAGCATCCCCCGCCACCGCCGCGGCCTCCTCCTCCTCTGCGCCTCCGGTCCTCGGCAGCGGTGGCGCCGCCCCGCCCGCCCCGCCGCCCGCAACGTCCAAGCAGGGCGAGTCCGCCATGCCACCGCCCGCGAGGCCCGCGAGCAAGGCCGGCCAGGTGGGCGCTAAGGCGCCGCCGCCTGCTGCCGCCGCCCCGCCGCCCACCGCGTGGTGAGTGTGGGCAGCATCGCGACGCACCCAAAAGGCGCCGATTAGCGTGAGCGACCTTTCGCAACGCGCGGGTGGTGATGGCCGGGGAGCGAAGGGGAGCTCGTGTAGCAGAGCAGCCCCGCAGCCGCGTCTGATGGCGGTGTGTGCATGTTGGAATCCGTGGGGGCGTGTGCGGCCAAATACGTCTGGCGCAGAGCGCGAGAGCCGCTTGCTGTCTTTGGCTTGCATGTTCTCTTGGGCGTCCTTTACCGTTTGGTTTTCGGTTGTGTGTTTTTGAAAGCGGCGGCAGGAGCGAGGAGGCGGGGGGTCCGAGACGAGGTAAGTGAGTCTCTCGTGTCGTGACTCGTGCGTGTCGTCGAGACACGAGAGGCCACTTCTCAAACGCTCTGGGCCGGCGCGGGGGCCCCAGAGGGTGTCCATGCGGGGGGGAGATGGGGTCCCATGGCCCGCCGCAGGCGCCGATTTTTTCGGATTGTTTTTCTTTTTTTGGCGATGTTTTACTTGTTTTCATGGGAATTCGGCGTACTTGCGGCCATGCTATCACGCCTTGCGACAGCCTGTCGGCGCAGCTGACCGTGCCATGATGCACAATTGATCACCTGCATAGCTCGCGGCCTTAGTATCAAGCATTCAGTGACGACCTGATCGTACGGCCAGTAGGAAGGTGTCCTTCCATCGTGTGCACGCTTCTGGCGCAATGCGCGTCACCTCGGATTGGCTGCTGGCACTCTCGAGGCTATGCCTACACAGCCTCGCGCGCATGGGCAGTCAAGAGGGACCACGCACCTTCTCAGGACAGCGCCGGTGCCTCTCTCTTGGACCGGCAAACTTGGTGGTATCGTGTCACCAATGTGGGACCAGTGCGGCTTCGCGCCATCGACAGCTCTGAACTGCGCCTCACCACTGACCGGGAAGGCCGCCAAGTGGGCCAGCACAGGTCGCACATTGTGGCAGCAGTCAGCAGTGCATGGCTGATAGCTAGAGCAGCAGCGTCAGGGTCGCAGGGTCGGATCGTGTCAAGCCTCTCGCCCGGCCGGCCGCGTGCAGACGTCGGCCTGTCTGCTGTCTGGAGTGATCTGTCGGCGGTCAGTACGACCGATCAGGTCGGAGTTTTCTGATGGTTGGAGGGTCTATCTCCTATCTGTATGTACTCCTCTCGAGATCTTTCCAAATCTGCCCTCTACTTAACCGTACTTAATCGGGAAGTTGGTGCTCATAGAGACTCATAGAGCCGGAGCCCCGTTTCCGCACTGCGGCGCGGCGCACGGTGCCTCCGGCGGGGGGGCCCCGCGCCGGCCCAGAGGTTGTCCCTTGGGTGGTCTGTTTTCTTTCTTTCTTTCTTTCCCTCGTTTGGCGTCCATTGGAGTTCTTTTTACCAGGCGCAACTTCCTGGTGTCGGATCACAACGGAGCAGCCCCACCCGGCACCCACTCCATGTCCATCTCCACCCCGGCGGCGGCCAGCATCGCGGCGATCGGGCAGCGCTGCTCGACAACGCGGCCGAGCACAGCCACGTCGTCTGCGGTGAGGGGCGAGCCGGCCGGCAGGTGCACCCTTGCCACGCCGCTCACACGGGTCAGCCCCGGCGGGGAAGGCGGCGGCTCGGTGATGGGCAGGTGGAGTGCGCCTGGTGGTTGGTTCAGTCGGTGGCGCTGATGGCAGCCTGAGCTGCCCGGGCGGCTTGGGTGCGTGGGCGGCAGCGGTGCGGTTGCTGATCTAGCGGCTGCGCGTTTTGCCACAGCTGCTGCTACGCAGAGAGCGAGAGGACAGTGTGTCTATCGGGAGGCGCGCCTCGCGGGTCGCGAACAGCCTCCACATCTGCGAATTCAATCGATTCGAAGCGGTTGTGCGGCCGCGCCCACAGATGGCGCGCCACGTAGTGCGCGGTCGCCACCTGGCAGCGCCGTGGATCGCAGGTCTTGGCCGCGCCGCGGCAGTGTGCATCGCTGATCTTGGCGGAGAGAGTCAGGTCAGGTGTCATGTCTCCGGTTTGCGGGCAACACCTTGCAGCCGAGCAACGACGCGAGAAGGGCTTCAATCGGCTGCGGGAGAAGAGACGGGGGTGAGCTCCGGCAGTCCGCTGAAGCGGGTCCTGTGCCGGCGCGATTAGTGCAGCCGCACCTGCGCGGCGCTGTCGCCACCGCCCATCTGCGTTGGGAGGTCAGTTTGGAGCGTGTGGCGGACGGCGCCACGGATGGTGCTCGTGCAGCCGACGCCGCCAAATGACGTCGCAACGAGGCGATAACGCATAGCGAGTGATTGCCCAGCGTCGGGAGCCGGGGACTCGTATCTAGATATTGCATATGCTGGGTGGCGGGGTTCCCTGGAGCGAGGGTATGCTCGAACTCGTTTTCTTTTTTCAATAGATTTTAGTGTCGTCATCATCTGTCTAGCGTCCACCCATACCGCGTTGGTGTCCAGTCCGAGCCTGGCTGTTCTTCACCTTTCTACCTACCTACCTATTTTACTTTCAGCCGTCGAGGATCCACGCATGACACGTCCTCAGTTATTTTGTAATTGTTCGAGGCTCTGCACACGTCGGGACGACTGGAGTGCGGCGCGATCAGCCCTGAGGTGCTGATGGAGTATAGTGGAACTGGGGGGTGCAATTATAGGGTGCCCACAGGGCCACACGGGGGCGGCTTCTTACCTGCGAAAGGAGGAATCCATGCTAGTACCGGGGCAGTCGGCTCGAGTAGGCAAGCGGGGGCCGTGAAGAGGTGAAGCGTAGCCGAGGGACAGCCGAGGTGTCGCAGCCTCTCATCAATGGACGGGGGTGGAGGGCTGTGATCCCTCCGCGTGCGGGATAGCAGCTACGAGGGACGTCGATGTCGAGGACTGCAAGTGTGGGTGGGTGGGTGGAGGAGGAGTGTGTTCATGGAATTCCACCCCGCACTCAAACGTTGAAGGACAGAACCCTGTGGCTGCTGTCGTCGCGCCCGGTGCCCACATGCACGTCTGACGCCGCACCGGAGCCGCAGGCTGTTGTCGGCGCTGGGCCCACGCACACGGCGCGACTAGTTGCACAGACTGCAGGTTGAGAGGCAAGGGCTGGCGCAGTCTGTGCGGGTGCACACGTTGGCGGCGGGCATGGGCGTGCGGATGGGCGAGGCCTACAACGCCACGTTGATTGTCCGTTGCAACGTCTAGGAACGGAGCGACGTGAATGGACCCATGTGCAAGGCGTGCTGCGACGCGACTTTAGGTGACCTTTCGGGGCCGAGGCAGGGACCTGTCCGGCAGTGCTAAAACTAGAGGAAACAGTGTAGAGGACAGGGCGAGGGACTGACTGTCCGAGGGGGGGGGGGGGGGGTGGCTTTCGAGCACAGGGGACGGCTGCTTAGTCCAATGGCGGATTATGATTGCGGCCTCGAATCACGGTCACGTCGGCGAGGACAGCGACGGCGTCGTTGGTGGAGCGCAGGGGCGAGGGCGTCGACCGACGGGCGACGCATCAGGGAACGACCGACGGGTCGAACGACGGGTCGAGCTCCCCCCTCCGCCGGTCGAGGCCGTGGTCGAGACGGTGAGCGCGGCCGAGGTCCTCGCGGGTGTGGGCTGGCGGAGTACGGCCCGAACTACCTGCTGCCGCAGGCCGCGGAGTCTAAGACGGCGCGGCGGAAGCGGCTGCGCGTGGACGCGGCGGCGAGGACGGCCGGGCACACTAGGCACGCACGTTATATGTCGAGGGGGCCTCGACAGGAGGGGGCCTGTGTCTAAATTGTGCGCCGTGGAGTGTTTATGTTCTGCATTTTTGTCGAGCATTTTTGAGCTTACCATCGATCGATGTTCATAGCAAACAAAACGTCGTCCCACCCCTAGTGCAGCAGCCCATGGCGGACAGGGCGCCCGGCAAAAACGCTCGGGCGCAGTCGCACCGCAGGCGGCGAGCGACCCCTCCGATCCCTCCGGAGGTTAGTTGAGCACCTTGTTCAGCCTCATGTTGGCTTTGCTTTTTCCTTGCGGGAGAGCTCCCGAGGTCGATGGTCCGGGAGGCTCCCGGTAGACGCCGTAGGCCGGGAAGCTGGCTACAGTCAGCTAGCACGCGTCCCCTATGCGAGTATGGGGCTCCTGCCAGTGCACCAGACTTACAGATGTGTCTTCAGAGGCGGGTTTGTGCCTAATAACGGCAGTATTGAAGACAATTGGAGAAAACGGCGCGGAACCCAGCGACGCATGCCGGCGAGGCCGATTTTCTTAAACGGTCTTAAAAGAGGGACCCCCCGTGCCTGCAATCTCTTAAATGGCAATTTGAGCCCCCAAACCTCCTCGTTTCTTAAAAGGTCTTAAAACAAATCCGGCCCTCAGAACCCTAGGGGTCCCCTAAGCAGAGGTGCCTTTCTGCACTGGGATCTTTCTTGCGATCTCGAGTCTATCAATGGGCCCTCGGCCGCGGCGCTCTCCTCCTGTGATCTGTGGTGTGTAGCGCCCTGGGGAAGTTTCCGGACCTCACGAACACGATGCTCGGCTGGGCCGTGAATAAAGCCGTATGAGACCTCACTGACCCGTCTGCGTCTCTCAGACAGCGTGGGCTGGGACACATGACAGGTGTCACAGTCATCGACTTTGATCTTTGTGTCAGTGCACACAGTTTCACAGTGCTCAGACCTCTGTGGGTGGGTACAACACACATCGAGAAAAGGGAGAGTGAGAGAGAGAGAGAGAGAGAGAGAGAGAGAGAGAGAGAGAGAGAGAGAGAGAGAGAGAGAGAGAGAGAGAGAGAGAGAGAGAGAGAGAGCTGAGAGAGAGAGAGACAGAGACAGAGATACGGGGGAAGGACCGTGAGTTGAGGAAATCGAGGGACGCGACCCACTTCGCCACGGACGGTCCCGCGCCTCGCCGCTAAGTTTGCGGCACGCCCCGCACCGTCCGCTGTGCCGCGTCTTTTGTCCGGAGTGAAAAGTCCAACGCGCTCGTCGGTGACGGCTTCCCTCAACCTGCGCCGCGCTCGGCGAACCTCGACAGCGCCTTTTCGGTGGCATGCATTTTTCTTTGCGACAGAAGCCTCTGGAGAGCAGCTCCTCTGCTGCTCACACGCTCTGCACAGATGGCACAGCTTACTGTGCGGCTGCCACAGCTGTGACAGCGATGGGCTCGCCCTCACTGGCCCTCAGTCAGTTGTGCTGCGGCTTGTGTGAGCGACACTGCTCGGCGACCCTGCCGGCACACTGTGAGACCATGGGTGTGAGGTAAAACCACGCTACCAGCGCTTGGTCACATCGGCCTGAGGTCAGATCCAAAATTGAACAGGAGAGAGAGAGAGAGAGAGAGAGAGAGAGAGAGAGAGAGAGAGAGAGAGAGAGAGAGAGAGAGAGAGAGAGAGAGAGAGAGAGACCTCAAGAACAGGCAACTCGGTTTACATTCAAGTTTACACCCTTCCCTCACTGTCTCTCAGTCTCTAGTTCGCTCAGCCGCTCATCACTCGTCGCGCGTGTAAACTACGGCGACAGCAAAGCTGCTGCTCGTCGACTCGGTCCTCATCCGCCCATCGGGGAGCAAAAATTGCCTGGCGAGGAACTGAACCGGTGCCACTTGGTGGCTGACAAGGGTACCATTGATCCACTCAGCCCACGCGGTGACGGTCATGCCAGCAGCAGAGATAGTGTGAAGCTTGCCGTCGATGTCGTTCGAGACGGCCTCGTGCAGAATTCCGCCCACAATCACCTCGGTGTCGACGTGGTCGCGTGTCATATTGATAATTCGTCGCTCCAGACCCACGCCATAGTTGACCGCCGCCAGTGCCTGACGTAGCGACCAGCCGGGCCAGCCTCCGCCGCCAACGTTGAGGAACTGGAGCATAGCGTCCATATCCCCCTCTGTAGACGTAAGTTTCCATGTGCCTGAGAAGTCCGTGTACGATGGCGACAGCGCTCGGCGGGTATTATGCGGCTCCGCGACGGGCTTGAACGGCTTCGCTGCGCTGCGGTTGGCGCCCGCTGATGAAACCAGGGCAGAGACGGTTATGAAGGTGGCCACAGCCACGGAGCGCACTGCAAGGGCGGCAATCGAGCGACGGCCCTGACGTGATCGCTCGTCGTCCGTTAACATCGCGTCTGTCAACACAGTCAGCAGCTGTCAAGCCAAGGAAAGGATGAGAGGGCAGGCTTCAAGGAGCTGGGTTCCAACTTATTCCGGGGTATGGTATGGTCTTGACTCGCGGCCCAAAGGGGTAGGGGGTATGGTCCTGCCCGCCCAAGACTAGCCCTACCATACCCCAAAGCAGGTCTGCCAGCAGGCGGGGGGGTATGGTCTTGAGCTGGCATGCGCGACCCTACCATACCATACCCCGGTGCCCGGAAAAAGTTGGAACCCTGATAGACTAACCCTCGGAGACCCGTGTTTACTTTAAGGCCCTTTCCCTGCGAACGCGCACCCCCGGGGCTAGGGCTCTCTAGCCCGTAACCCGATGCCAATCATCCGGCCCGCTGGGTGCGCTTCTTAGGACTTAGCTCCCCGGCCCTGGATGTGCGGTTAATGACTGCACTCCAAGTGCTCCAAGAGCGTGGATGTGAGGTTACCGACTCACTCCAAGTGCTCCAAGTGCAGTCATCTCCAGGGAGAGATGGGCGACGCACACGAACACAGAGGGACAGTGCGCACCCCGCCCCGCTCGCAGGGCGTGCATCACACAGGTGGACTGTCGGTGACTCCTCGGGTTTCTGGGACTCAGACAGAGGTGGTGCTAGTCGCTATTCTCAAGGAGCTGATACAAGAAGGAAGAGCGGTTTGAGTTTTTTCTCCCACTACTAATCCGAAGCCCCGGGCAATTCGCTTCCCGCACGCCGGCCCGCACGCCCCGACGCCCCAGAGGCCCCACCCGAGAGAAGTAAGACGAGGGATGGTGGTGGGTGGAACAGCAAGGCGGCGCAAGCTGGCGGAGCCGAGGAGGACGCGTGCGGTCGTTGCGTGTGGAGGCGCAGGCGCGCGCAACTTGTATTTTAGCTTCGATGTCGGAGCAAAACAAAATCGCCGGCACTCGATCACGTTCTACCCGCCGGCGAGATACGGCGAAAGGACTTGCCGGAGGAGGTGGTGGCTATGGCTTTGGACCTTTGCGAGAGGTGGCGAGCGGAGGAAGAGCGGTGTAGGCGCGTCCACGCGGCGCAGCGGCTCTCCCGCGACCCCGGCCCCTCTCATAGCCGCAGCCGTAGCCGCAGCCCCAACTGCAACTCTTGCCGCTCTTCCGTGTCGGGTTGTGACGAGGGGTGAGGGGACACGGATTGAAGATCCCTCACACCAAGATCGTGCAGGGCGGGGACACATGTCCCTAAATCCCATCTCGTCTCAGAGTTTGCCCGTTTTATTTATTTATTTACGTTCTACCCGCGCCTGCCTGTGGCGTCACGCGGGGGTAGTGCGGAGAGAACGACGCGCGCTACCCCGCGCGAGCGGGCAGCTGCGGCTCGACGATGCTCAGCTCGAGCTTGGGCTTGTGCGCCTTCTCCGTGTTGACGTGGATGCGCACGCGCACCTTGTCGAACGTGCTCAGTGAGCAGCCCGGCGCGCGGAGCGTCTCTGCCGCCTCGTCAAAGGCAAACGGGTTGCGCTCGCCGGCGCCGCAGACAAAGATGACGCCCTCGATGCCGTAACGCGGCACGAGCACCACGACGCCGTTGTCGCGCACCTTGATGACGTGCGCGTCCTCCTCCACCTCCTTCCCGCGGAAGAAGATGAGGGTGTGCAGCCCGACCGACGCGCGGCCGGCGTACTGCGCCATCGTGTGGCGGTGGTTGAGGTTGTCGGTCAGGTCCGTCATCGCGCGCGCGTCGAGCACGTCCGAACTGAGCGGCTCCCACCCGATGATGGCCGCCAGCAGCCGGTGCACCATCTGGTCCGAGTAGCGCCGGATCGGCGAGGTGAAGTGCGTGTAGATCGGGCACGCGAGGCCGTAGTGGACGTACTCGCTTGGCGGAGCGGCGCCGGAGGAGAAGTAGCGCGCCTGCTGCATCGCGCGCGTCGCCAGGATGCGCGTGAGCTGGTTGAAGTACGGGTCGTCCGGCTTGGCGCACGCGTCGAGCGAGCGGCCGAGCGCGAGCGAGGACGCGTCGTCCAGCTCAAACCCGTGCTGGCCGAGCGACCGCTTGAGCGACTCGAACGCGCCCGGCAGCGGCGGCGGGTGGCGGCGGAGCATCGCGCACTTTGGGAAGGCGGCGGTGGTCGCGGCGGCGACGGAGCAGTTGGCGAGGAGCATGAACTCCTCCACCATCGAGTTCGCGTCCTTGTGCTTGTAGATGCCCACGTCGGTCGGGTCAGACGTCTCGGAGTCGAGCACGAAACGGACCTTCCCGCAGCGGCACGGGGGTGTGGGACGGTCGGGGGGGGGGGGGGGAAGGGGGGGGGAGGGGGTAGGACGGCGGGGCGATTGTCGTTGCGGGCGGGGCGTCGAGAGGGAGGCGGCGGCGTGGGAACGGAGGGAGTGAACAGGGAGCGTCGCATATGCTACCAGGTCACGGTCTGGGTTCGGGACGTATTCACAGCAGTGCGGGGGAAGGGGACCCCTACCCCTGGAGTGTGAGTGTGGATTCTTTTTTCGGCATATGTCTCTCTCAGTCTTCTGCACACCTCGGGCGAGCCGAGCACGAGGGCGCCCGCGGCCATGCGCCGCGCCTTGAGCTGCTTGGCGAGCGTGTTGAGGATGCGGAGTGAGGCCGTCAGCGGGTCGTCGAGCCGCGTGTCGTCGAGCCGCGCCTGCGCCTCGTCGTACGACAGGGCGCCTGCCGAGCGGATCACCGTCTTCTCGTACCGCGAGGAGAGGATGTTGGCCTCGGCGTCAACCTCCCAGATGCAGGAGAAGGCGAGCCGGTCCACCTGGGCGCACCGTACAGCGGTGGAGCTGGCCGCGGCGCAAAGGCGGGCGGAGCGACCCCCCCCCCCCCCCCCCGACAACCACCACCACCATTACCACCGCCAAACACACACCTTTTCATGCAGCGAGCAGAGGTCCTCGCCCAGCCTCTTCGGGACCATGTCGATTCTCTTGTTGACGAGGTAGACGGTCGTCCCACGCGCCGCCGCCTCGGCGTCGATCGCCGTGCCACCCTTGATGAAGTGGCCCACGTCGGCGATGTGCACCCCCACCTCGTACTTGCCCGGCGCGAGCTCGTACGCGTGCAGCGCGTCGTCGATGTCGACGCAGCCGGGCGGGTCGACCGAGCAGACGAGCACCTTGCCCGAGGGCCCGCCGTCGCGCAGGTCGAGCCGGCGCGCGATCTCCGCCTCGGGGATGGTCCACCCTTTGGCAGGGAGGCAAGCCTGCACCTGCGGCGAGAACGGCGCGCAATTCACCTCGTGCTCGATCAGGATCGCCTAGGGGAGGTGCGCCGGACAACGTGTCAGGGCCGTGCCCTGGACACGGCCAAGAGCGGTGCTCGACCAAGGCGGCCTCCGACTCGGCCTCCTTGTCGCCGACAGCCCCGAGGGTGCGCACGTAGTGCCCGGTCGGGAAGCGATGACCCGCCTACCCGGGGAAGACGCAGCCTCAGGGCGGGATTACGGTACTGCGCAGAGTACGCGTGAATACACGGGGCTACGAGTACAGCGAATACCGCGGACTGCGTGCCCTCTCGAGCGCCAGGTGGAAGACAAGAGCACGGATTTCCGCCTCTAGGGGGACCCGCGTCCCACAAGTCGACCGAGACTAGGATGAGCTTGCCGCGCAGCATTTCCGCCTGCCGCGTCGTCAGGTTGATCTTTGGGATGCGCGTGTCGAGCGGCTCTGCCAGGTACCTGCACAGCAAGGCGCGGGGCTCGCGGGGCCCCCTCGAGCGGGGCGGGCTGGGGACGTTCGGATCCGGCGCAAGCGGCGCCGGGGTGGCGATGGCGGGGTTGTGGATGGTGTGCCGCGCCCCCGAATGGCTCTCGGAAGTGTGCGGGGTGGAAGGGGGGGGGGGGGTTCTGGGGGGTGAGCGTGAGGCTGCAGCGGAGAGGGGTGGCGGGGGGCGTGGCCGTGACGGCATCGGGGCTCCGAGAGCCATAACGGCTCGGCGCAAGGGCGAGGGCCGGAGCAGCGCACGCGGGTGAGAGAGGCGGGCTGCGTGTAGCGGGCTGCGCCACCCCGCGCGAGCGTGTCTCCCCGTCGGTCCATCTAGCGGCTCATACTGCGACCCCATCGCCGAGTCCGGATCGAGGACGCACGCATACGGCCTCCACGCGCGCCTGCGCGGGCGCGGATGCCTCGAGGTTGCGCTTCAGCTCGGGATTCTCGGAAGAGTCTCGGAAGAGTCTCGGAAGAGTCTCGGAAGAGTCTCGGGAGTGTCTCGGGGGTGACTCTCGTGAACGCGTAGGGGAGTGTGCATGCAGGGAGTGTGCGCAGGGCGTGTCTCGCGCCTCACGATACCGACCACCACGCCGCTCGGCCGCGCGCCGCCGCCGCCGCCGCGCATCGCCGGCTCAGCGGTGTCGGCCCCCATCTCTGGCACCACCTGCGCGCCATCGAGCCGGTCCGTCTGCACCAAATCGTCGTCGTCCTCCTCCTCCTCCTCCTGGTCGCCGCCGCCCGCCGCCCCCGCCCCGTCACCACCCGCGCCGCTGCCCACCGCCGCGCCGCCGCCGCCGCGCCGCCTGCGTCCGCTCGCGTCGCGCCCGCCCAATCGCTCCGCGGAGCCCCACTGCGCGCGCGGCAGCAGCCGCACCACCACCGTGTCGCCCTCGACACCGCGGTTCATCGCCTTTTGCGGGTACGAGCCGGAGATCTGGGGAGATCTGGGGAGATCTGGGGAGATCTGGGGAGATCGCACGCGGGGCATGACTTCGAGAGAATCGCCTCTCGGCCACTCCGGGGGCGCATCTCGACTCGTCTCCACCTGCCGCGACGGGAGCAGCACGTCGGACGAGTCCTCCAGCGAGCGCACGCCGACGAAGCCGCGCGACGGGTTGTGCCGGGAGACGCGCAGCTTGCCCTGGTGCAGCTCGCCCGCCTGGATCCCGCGGGTGATCTCCGACATGGACAAGTGCGCGGCATAACGCACGCCGCCCTTGCGCCGCCCGCCGCCCTCCCCGCCGCCCTCCCCGCCGCCCTCCCCCGCCTCCTCGTCTTCCCCCGCCGCGAGCAAATCCTGCAATCGAGCCGCGTCGGGCAGCGACCGGACGTAAGCATGCACCGTCTGCGCGCGCAGGCCCTCCGCCTTGGCCTTGCGCAAGTTGTCCGCGTCGTTGGTCAGCAGCAGCACCTGCGCAGCCCCGTCCAGCTGCGCCGCGTACCACGCCGTCGCGACGCGAATGGCGCGGTCGTTGCGGTCGTTTGGCGATTCGCCGGGCTCGCGCTGCGTGTACGTCTCGCGGTGGAACTCGTTGGAGAAGACTGCGGGTGGGAAAGGCGGTGGTGGCGGCGGTGAGCGGCAGCGGTGACGCGGGCTGCTGGTGTCGCGTGTGCACAGCGTGGGGGCGAGGGCCAGAGGACGCACCGATGAACCGGCGCGACGCGTCGTCGATGAGCGCGCGCAGCCGCTTGTGCACGCTCACCTTGTTGTGTCGGACCTCGTCAACGACCGTCTGCAGCACGATGACGTCGCGCACACTGGCCCTCTCGAGCAGGTCAATCTGGTGCAGCACCACGTTCGTGTCAAGCACGATGTAGGTGCTGCCCAGGAGCCGCGGCTCGAGCGAGAGGTCATCGAGGTGCGGCGAGCCTGTCGGAAGGTCGTCGCGGAGGTAGAGCTGCCTCACAAAGGTGCGGACCTGGCCGCGGCGCGTCCGCTTGACGAAGACGCGGTTCACGGCTCCGAGGGACTGGCCGACCGAGGACATTGGGGAAGCCTGGGGCGGCAGGCTGAGGCAGGCGCGAGGCAGGCTGAGGCAGGCGCGAGGCAGGCGCGCTGGGGTTGATGCTTCGAAAGAAACAGCTAAGCTCAACGACAACGCCACTTGGCTTAGATCTAACCTTGGGCCGATGGTGCGCGGCCAGCGAGTCCTGGTGGAGCCGAGCTGGAGTAACGGGCCTCATCAACCGATGGGCGTTGCCCCGGACGTCCCAATTTTGTTCGTCAGCGTCGCACACGCCAGTGCGGCGCGGGCGATGCTTAGGCCTTAGGGAGGAACGGATCGAGGGGTGGTGTGGTTGGTCCATCTGCATGGACCCAGGCGCCTACGATGTTGCGGCGGACCCCCCGACGCCACGGACGGTCGGAGCCGCCGAGCTGATGGCGGGGGGAGGCCGACAGCCGGAGGTGAGGGACGGGACCACCGGACCAGCCGCCGCTGGGGGGGTGCAGGCGGAAAGGTGTGGCAGCGGGACGGCGCCAAAGAGGCAGCGACCTCTGACAGCTGACGAGCGGGGGACGACACCGGCATACCCGTGTGCACGGGCCAACTCGGCCTCGGAGGCGTATTGCCAGTCGTGTGAGATGAGACTGGTGCAGATCGGGGAGACATTCTGCCAAGAATGCAGACCCGCCGAAGCCAGCCCCTTCAGCCGCCGCCTGGTATGCTGTGGAGCAGGCCAGGAAGTCCCGGAGGGGTATGAGCCGAAGGACGTGTCGCGTGGCACGTCTTTTGGCAACCCAGTAGCGCTACCTTACGGCACGCACAACAGAACGGCGTATGGGACGGCAGTGGAGGCCTTTGACACGATCTGCGAGTACGTGACGGAGAACGCGGTGGGGGGGGAGGTCGCATGCGTAACGACGCTGCTAGAGATGCCTTTCGGGGCCCAGAGATAAAACTTCTGATGCCATGCGTGACCTAGTAGTGTCCCCAGCTATGGGCGTGTCCACGTTGGAGCCAGGTGTGGTGTGGGCGCGAGAATAGCTCCGCCGTTCATGGAGGCAACCGATACGAGTCGACTGGTGTGTGTCGTCGTGGTTTCGTATCAAGAATACTCACACTCACACCGCGTGCTAGCTCCAAGGTTGGTTTCGAACAAATATTAAAAACGAGAAACCGACGTGCGACGAGTGTCATCCAGCCTATCTGTCGTCTGTGCTCTGATGTTGTGGCCCACCCAATGGACCTAGTCCCCGCCTCGCCTCATGACTCGGCTTTTTTAGCAATACCAAACAAACTCATTTGTTTGTGACTCGGTGGTCGCCCTCTCGCTCTCGCCCCACGTCATACCACGCCATGCACTCCACCGCCCTGCTGCCCTGTTCGCTGCCGATCGCCACCGCTCCCAGCCGGGTCGCGCCGCCGCCCGACCCGACGGCGGCGGCGATGCGCGCCTCACGGCCGTCGCACGGAAGCGCCGAGAGCAGCTGCACCGCGAACGCGCGCGCTGGGGGCGCCTCTGCGAGGCCTAGGCTATCGCGCAATGCCGTGGAGGCGGCCTGCTCGCCCAGAATGCACGCCGCGCCCCCGTGCAGGGAGCCGATCATGTTGGCCAGCGCGGGCGAGAGCGGCGTGGAGTAATCGCAGCTGAAGGCGGCGTCTGGCAACAACGAGGAAACGCCGCCGCTAGCGCTGAGCGCAGCTAGCGGCGGGAAGAGGTCGGCTCGTCGCGTTGGCTGCAGCGGCGGCGGCGCGATCGGTCGGCTGGCGAGCCAGTTGTACGCGATCGGCTGGACGAGCGGGTAGACCGCGGGGTGGCCGCCGAGCTGGAGAAGTGACCCGAGTGCGGCCGAGCTGCCCGGAAACTTGAGGGCCTTGCAGTGGCGACCGACCGCGAGAAGATCACGCGGCTCGCCGTCGCCGCTCCAGATCTCCAGCTCGAGGTAGCCGAGGGTGCGGCCGAGCTTGAGCGGCCGCGTCACAAAGTGGAGCGCCTTGCCGGCGTCACAAAGTGCACTCCCGACGAGCCTTCCGCTGAGCGAGATGCTGACTCCGGGGCGGTGCCTGGCGTCCCAAGGCGCCATGCCTCCGTACGTGGAGATTTCGTCGTGCAGCGCGAGCGCAGTCGCAAGGCAGAGCGTGCCGTCGGCCCGCACGCTCCAATCAGGTAGAGGTAGCGAGAGGACAGACTGCTCCTTGTCGAGCTGGCGGAAGCGGAGGCCGCCGCCGTCAAGCGGAAGCGTGAGGCCGAGGAGAGTGCCAAACGAGCCGACGCGTGTCGTAGCGAGCCAGAGGGTCTCGGCAACGGCGCGGAGGCCTCGGTCAACCATCGGGCATGCCATCGCAGCCACCTCGAAAGAGCAAAGTCGTTCCGGCAAGGGCCAGGCAAGGGCCAGGCAAGGGCCGGCAAGGGCCAGGAGGCAAGGGCCAGGAGCCACGTCGAAATCGATCGAAAGTGTCGGCCTGGGTGCTTGGGAGTGGGCGAAAAGAACCCGGGCCGTCAGAGCCGACGAAGGTGGGGCGAAGAGGCCGCCTCCGAAGAAGAGACACCAAAAACGACTGCAGAGGCAGTGGGGCGACGCCCGGGAAGCGAGCAAGAGGCCGAACCAGACCGAAAGTTCACCCTGACGGGCGGGGGACGGGGCCCTGGGGAGCCGGGCGATGTACACATTAGGCAGTCGTGTATGTACGTGACGTGTGGTGTCGCGTCTGTGTCCACTAGCTCCGAGTATAGAGGGGGCGTTCTGCAGTTAAGGGGAAACCCGGTACACGGAGCCCTCTCGGAGAACCGTGTTTACTTTACGGCCCTTTCCCTGCGAACGCGCACCCCCCCCTAGGGGTCAGGGCTCTCTAGCCCGTAGCCCGATGCCGATCATCCGGCCCGCTGGGTGCGCTTCTTAGCTCCCCGGCCCTGGATGTGAGGTTAATGACTGCACTCCAAGTGCTCCAAGTGCTCCTCAGAAGCCGTCGCCCCCACCACAGGAGCAGTCACACCACTCCCACAGAAAAGAATTTTGCAAACTCTCCCTCGCACGACATTGGGCACGGGACTCCCACTGGCGCACAACACTGGCACTAACACAGGTATTACACCACGGGAGCCGCCAGCGACTCCTGCGAGGGCGGCGAGGCACTTAGCTCCGTGCACTCGACCGCCCTCGCCGCAGGCAAGCTCATTCACAATCTGCTCTGCGATGGCCGTGTGTGTGAAGAACGAAGGACTGAGATACACTGCTTCTGCAGCCCTAGCCAATTCTTGGTGGTCCAAGTCACCTCATCGAGGTACTGGGCCCGCGTCAGCTTGTTCTGCAGCACGTTCGCCGCCTTCCAGAGGATCTCGCCGACCCCCTTCCCGAACCCACCGCGACGACTCGAACAGCAGCAGCTGCACGTCGACGTCCTTGTCCTCCCTCTGGCGTAGCGATACTCGCCGCCGTAGGACGGTATGCGGCGGGCGCCGCCCACCACCCGTCCCTCGAACCCGTCCCCCCCTAGTATGCCAGCGACCCGTCCCCTGCCCCCTCTCGCCCTTGCTCTTCCTCTCCGCAGAAAAGAGTTTTACAACAATCAACTCTCTCACACAGCAGAAAAGAATTTTACAAACAAGCTCCCCTCTCTACGACACTAGGCACGGGACTGGCGCGCACTGGCACTGGCACTAACACAGGCACGCCGGAGAAAAGAATTTCAACCAAACTCCCCCGCACAGCACTGGGCACGGGACTGGCGATTTACCAACCAAGGCGGTCGCACAGCACGATTCACACGACAGACCTACAAAAGGCGTTGACAAGGCGCGGGCGACGGGTTTCAGAAGAAAAGACACGCAAGAGTCAAAGAGACTCAAGGCGGCGGCGGCCCCAGCACCTTATTTCTGCTTTCTGCGATTGCGAGAGAGGGAGAGAGGTAAGACGCGAGCAGCTTGTTCAAATCCTGATGGAAGATGCCCCGCGGAAGCCTTCTTTGTTTGTGTTCGGTTGCCTTCAGAAGCCAAGACACGTGCCCCTCACAGGGGGAAGGACGATAGATATGCGCAGGACAGCCTGCTGCTCTTGCTAGCACCCACTCATCATCACGGAGTCGACGAGGCGCCCCAGAGAGAGAGAGAGAGAGAGGGGCTGCCATCGCCGAAGCTGTGCCTAAGCATAACTCCCCAACCCGCAGCGGCCCAGGGGGCCATGGGGGCAGCCTGCCGGACCGCCGCCGCACGGCACTAAATACAAAGAAGATTCTTTTTCAATCACACGAGCGCGGACCACCCGACGAGGTGACTTGGACCACCAAGAGTTGGCTAGGGCTGCAGAAGCAGCGTATCTCTCACTCACTGGTTCTTCACACGGCCAGCATCGCAGCAGAGCAGATTGTGAATGAGCTTGCCTGCGGCGAGGGCGGTCGATGGAGCCAATTGCAAAAAGAAAAAAGCTCCCTGAACGCGCAAATTCTTTTTTCGACCTGCCCGCCTTCCCGCGAGTCCACATGACCTTCTCGGCGTCGTGGGCCGCGCGTGCGCGGAAGCCCCCGTCCGTGCCAAAGTCCAAGTCAGAGGACAACTCCGACTCGGACGAGTCCAAGTCGGAGGCCGGCGACGAGGCGCGGGCGCACATCTCGCCGGTGCCGCCCGGACTGCTCGCGTCGGTGGTCGTGTTTGGCGCGGACGGCGACCTTGCGTCGAAGAAGATCCTGCCGACGCTCTTCAATCTCTGGCGGCGCAAGCTCGTGCCGCGCGACCTCCTCGTCTTTGGGTGTGCCGCTCCCCACACCTCACGCTCGTCGCTGCCAACCTCCATTGCTCCCGCCTCCGCCGCCGCCGCCCTCTCGCCGCCGCGCACCCTCACCGCCGCCACCCTGACGGCCGCCGCCCTCTCAGCCGCCGCCCCCGCCGCCGCAACATGCCACCGCCGCTGAGATCACCGCTATGGCTGTGCACGGCGTCAGGTTCGCGCGTGCGCCGATGACGACCGAGACCTTCCGCAAGCACATCTTCAAGTGCGTTTACCACCCGTCGCAGCCGCAGGGCGACCGGAAGGAGTTTCTGCAGCGCTGCCACTACCAGTCTGGCCAGTTTGACGAGCCAGAGGCGATGGAGGCGCTGCTGAGGCAACGGGAGGAGGCGGTGGCGCGGAGTGCAGGTGGTGGCGCATGACGCGTCGGCGGCGTGGCCCGTAGGCAGATCGAGGAGCAGGAGGCGGCGCGACTCGCAGCGAGGCAGCAGCCCGCAGGCAGCCGGCCACAAGCACTCCACTTTCAGGACCGGCGGCCGGCGTCGGCGTCGTTCGATGCCGTCGGCGCGGCGGCCGAGGCGGGCGTGCCGGAGGAGCAGGTGCGGCTGTACTACATGGCCGTCCCTCCCTTCCTCTACGCCTCCATCTGCGGTGCTCTCCGCTCTGGCCGCCGCGCCGACGCTGCTGCCGCCGCCGGCGCCGCCTCTGCTGGCGACTTCGCTGCGCTGTCCCTCGCCGAGGGTGCGAGCGATGCGGGCGGCGCAGAGGGCGACAAGGCTACCGCGGCCGCAAACGGATGTGGCGTCGCCGCTGGTATTGGCAACGGCGGCGGCAACGGCGGCGGTCGGGTGGTGCTGCCGATGCCGCGACTCGAGGAGCGATTTGTGCTGGAGAAGCCATTTGGCAAGGACGGCGCCTTGTGACGGCAACGGAGCGCGAGGTGGGCGCATCGGGGGACGCGTCCGCGGCACGTCCGTAGGACACGGCTTCGTGCCAGCAGATGGTGCGCGAGTTGTCGATGCTGCGGGAGGACGAGATCTTCCGAATCGATCACTACCTTGGCAAGGTGCGAGATCTTGGGAGATCCAGCCAAGATCTAGCTGAGATCCAACTGGGGTCAAAGCCGAAACGGAGTCGAAGTCGAGCCGGGAGCAGAGACAGCGAGCGGTTTCAGGGCCGGTTTGACACTACTTCCAAGCTGCGCATACAGACGATTGCCTCTCCCCAATTTCGCAGGAGCTGGTGATGAATCTGCTCGTGCTGCGTTTTGCCAACGTCTGCTTCCAGGGCATCTGGAACCGGCAGTACATCAAGAACGTGCAGGTCATCTTCAAGGAGGACTTCGGGACGCAGGGGCGCGTGGGCCGTTTTGACGAGCACAGACCGGTAGAGAGCTCTTCACACTCCACACGCGGCGAACAGGCGCGGCGGCTACTTTGACGAGTATGGCATCATCCGCGACGTGCTGCAGAACCATTTGCTGCAGGCGAGAGCAAGACAAGGGGGGAGAGGGGGGGGGGGGGGGAGCGGGCGAAAAACAAAAGCGGGGTGGGTGGGTAGCGCGAGCGAGAGGTGTGCGACACCTCTGCCACCAGGTGATGGCATTGGTGGCGATGGAGCAGCCGCTCTCCTTCTCCGCCGGCGACATCCGCGCCGAGAAGCTCAAGGTGCGATCTAGCCGCGACCTAGCCGCGTTATCGCCGCGATCAGCAGAGGTGCGACCTCGGGTGATCTCGTGTGATCTCGTGTGATCTCGGGTGACCTCGTGTGACCTCGGGTGACCTCGGGTGACCTCGTGCGACCTCGTGTGACCTCGGGTGACCTCGTGCCCGACGCCGCGCCGACAAGCGCAGGCGGGCGTGTGTTGCGCGCTGCCGGTCACGTCGGTCCGCGTCCATGACACGTCCAACACGCCCCCGTCAGGTGCTCAAGTGCGTGCAGCCGCTTACCCTCGACACGCTCTGCACCGGCCAGTACGTCCGCTGCGGCAACTCGCCCGGGTACCTCGAGGAGCCGACCGTCGTGGACAAGCAGAGCCGCACCGAGACCTTCGCCGCCGCCGTGCTGCATGTGCACAACCCTCGGTGGGAGGGCGTGCCCTTCGTGCTCAAGGTGTGCCCCCCCCCCCCACCTCGACGCCCACCCGCGCTCCATTCTGGACGCCTCGACCTCCCGCCCCCAACTTTCGGCGGCCCAGTCAACCGGCGCCTGTGCCCCTTGCCCCCCACCCAAGGCGGGCAAGGCACTCACGGACCGCAAGGCAGAGGTGCGGATCCAGTTCCACAACGTGCCAGGCGTCATCTCGGACCTCGCCAACTCGTGCCCGGGCGGGCGAGCGCCGCGCGGGGAAGATGGCGCCTCCGCGGAGTGGCGGGGCCGCCTTGAGCGGTTTCCGTGACCTCTTGCCCGCAGGCTCCCCGCCAACGAGCTCGTCGTGCGGCTGCAGCCCGAGGAGACTATCTACTGGAAGGTGCAGAACAAGGTGCCTGGTCTCGGTTTCGAGACCAATCAGATCCGGATGGACTTGCTGTACGCCACAAAGTTTCAGCAGCGCAAGCTGCCAGAGGCGCGCGCGGCGGCGGTAGCGCTCCTCTGCGTGCAGTAGTGACGCGAGTGCCACGCCCGCGGCGTGATTGACGTAGGCGTACGAGCGGTTGCTCCTCGACGTCCTCGCGGGGCAGGTCCTTGAGTGCCCTTGCCGCACCGAGAGCGTGGGTGATGTCCGAGATGGCACGGGATGACCCGAAGCCCTTGTGGCGCAGTCGTCGAATTTTGTGTCCGCCGAGGAGCTCATCCATTCTTGGGCCATCTTCACGCCGGTGCTGCACCAGCTGCGCGAGGAGAAGGTGGTGCCCGAGCCATACCCATACGGGTCTCGCGGCCCGCCCGGCGCCGACGAGCTCGCTTCTCGTTTCGGCACCGCAGCCTCCAAGCCACACATTGCACGCTGCACACTCACACCGCACACCCACACTATACACCGCACCCTACCCGCGCGCTGCCTCTGGCGCCACTACGCCTTGCACTGCACGCCACAGGGATGCAGAAGTTTGGCGGCGGGCTCCACACGGCCATCGACGCGCGCGTTACCACGGCAGCCCCGAAGCGGGACGCGCCACCGACGGCGGAGGTGGCGAGCGCGATGCTCGCTCTCGAGGGCAGGCACGGGGCGCCGCGCAAGCCCTCCTCCTTCACGAACGGCTAGGAAGTCGCGCTTGGGGGTGCCGCCGGCTGCCGGTGCTGGTTGCGCACAGGGACGAGAGCGTTGGGGGTGGGGTCCAGGGAACCCAGTCCCTCGAGTCCTCGAGGACCTGGTCCGTTCATTCTTGAGGTCTCGATACACTGGCGTACGTTCGTGTCCTTGGACATTACACAAAAGTAATATATCTTTACAACACCCGGACGTGAGAACTGAGATTTAGGAGCAGCAGCCAGCAGGGACCCGGTGGAGGGACCATGTGGGAAGACACGGCTAGAGTAGTCCGGGTAGTGCTATAGTCCTCCAAGCTCCATATCGGGAGGACGACCCCGGCTAGTCGCCGACCACACCTCCACAAAGAACCCTGCACAAAGATCGCAAGGGCGCGGGGACCTGTTCCTTTTGACCCACATCTCCTAGTAGAGGTGTTCGTTTTTATTTATTTACCCGGACGTGCTCCACCCCGCGCACGCCTCTTCCGACAGGGTGATGGATCGAGGTGATGGAAGGGTCGACGCACCCCCGGACTAGCGCAAGGGCAGCGAGAGTGGCGGCAGGAGCAGCAAGAGCGCGCGAGGCTACTACAAACAGATAGACGGTATCAAGTACGACCGTGCGCTGCTCGAATGCGCCGATGAGCTGGCTTCAGCGAACAGCGGTGTGCACGTTGTCGAGGCGGTGTGCCACGTACGAATGGTGGCTGTAAGCGTACACTCGATTTCTATAGGCAAGCTCGACGCGGAGGCGGTGGAGCGCCTCATCGAGGAGGCGCGCGACGGACCGGATGGCGTCACCGCTTGCGAGGCGGCGACACTGGCGTTCATCGCGGAGACATATAGCCTCAGCCCCAGCAGCAAGAAGGCGCTCAGCAAGGAGGCTACCGCGGCAGGCGGCTCGGCGAAGGGCGCACGCTCGACGCGGGGCGCTAGCGCGAGCACGGCGAAGAGCGCGAGCAAGCGGAGTGCGACGTCGGCATCGGCCATCGGAAGCAGCAAGCAGAGCAAGCCGTCCGCCGGATCGACGCCCGGCTCCTCTCGAGCAGCCCGGGTCGCAGCAAGGGCCGCAGCTTTAGAGGACGGCGAAGACTACTACGATGAGGAGGCAGAGTACCCTCCTGGCACGGCGGACACGGGAGCGGAAGATAGCAGCGCACCGGCGGGCTACTTCTCGTCCTTCTTCCGCCGCTCGCCCGCCACCTCGACCAAGGCTGCGCCATCAACCTCTTCGTCGAGCTACTTTTCTTCGTTTCGCCGCTCACCTGCTGACACGACATCGACCGAGGCCGTGCCGTCCGAGGTTGCGCCGTCCACCTCGTCATCAAGCTATTTCTCTTCCTTCCGCCGCTCACCTGCAGCAACGTCGAGTGAGGCCGCCCCGGCGACTTCTTCGAGCTACTTTTCCTTCCGCCGCTCACCTGCAGCGACGACGGATGAGGCCGCACCGGCGGCTGACACGGCCTCCAGCTTCCTGCCCTCTTTTTTCCGCCGAAATGTTGCCCCGGCGGAGGCGACTTTGGGCGAGGCAGAGGACGCGGATTACGTGCCGCCATCGGCGGAGGCGGAGGCGGAGGCGGAGGCGGAGGTTGAGCGCGACCTTTTGATGAGCGACGTGGATTACACGGCGTCTGCGGACTCCGCAGAGGACGCGGAGGAGAAGGACGGCGAGGAGGACGAGGAGGGGGGGGGGGAGGGCGTGGGCGACTTGGGCGTCGGGTCCGCTGACCGCGAGCTGACCTTTGGCGGCGACGAGCCGGAGACACCCAACCGGCAGGGCTCCGGCGAGCGCGAAAACCGGCTCCGGCTGCTCTCCGCAGGAGGGGACAGCTACTACAAGCAGATTGACGGCGTCAGCTACGATCGCTCTTTGCTTAAGCTTGCTGAGGGGCTCTCGGCTGGCGGGAGCATTGACTCAGCCGCCGCGGAGCGCCTGGTTGGAGAGGCGACCGAGGGCACCCAAATCACAGAGGTTGAGGCACGCACGCTGCGCTACATAGCGGAAACAAACAACCTCACCGCCGACGCTGCCGCCATCCTAAGTGACGCGCAACCGGCTCCACCACCAACACCGGAGCCCACGGCCGACTACGCGTACGATGGCTCCGCGTCTAGCTGGCAGAAGGCCAAGGACATGATTCCGAGCTTCCCAAATCTCTTCAGCCGCCGCACGGCCGCTGCTGCTTGAGCATGCCGTCTCGCATGTTTCACTGGGTCAAGGGGGGGGGGGGGGGGGATCAGTGGAAGACTGCCGCGAGGAAGCAGCGCTCGCTTCGGCGCGCCGCTTCTGCTGTTGCGCATGGACGCTCTCAGGCACAGCTCATTTGCACCATGTGCGTGCCCGATGACAGGGATATGTGGAAAGGGCGTCAATAAGGGCGCCCTTTCTCAGGACGGATGGGCGAGGATTGAGACCACGCGTAGATAATTGCTATCCACTTTTGCCTCTCCGGCGCGTCATGCAGGGGGGGAGGGCCGAGGGCGGGAGGCGAGAGAGCGCTTTTCCTACGATGCTAACCCCAGTTCAAAACGTCCCTCGAGCACGTCGTTATAGCTTATACGCGTTAAATCAGCGAGCCGCGAGGAGAGTTCATGCAGAGACAGAGAGAGACCCTCATTTACCCGCGCTGTGCCGGGTCTCTTTCTCTTCACTGACTCTGACACTGTCACTGAGTTCACCGGCGCGGGATAAGCATAAGGCCGGCCCCGGCGCCAATTACGTACACGGGTTACACGGCTCTCTAATATACAGGACCGGGTTTTTTGAGTTTTGCTTTTGTGTGCGCGTATGAGGCGTTGTCTTCAACATGTATTTTTCGAGAAACAGCTGTGCACGCACGTGCGAGCGCCGCCCCGGCTTATACCCGGGGTCGCTTGGTCTTGCGCCCCCCACCCCCCTCCGCCTTTCGGTGCTGCGCGATGGGATCGATGACCGCACCGCGCACAGTGGAGACGCGCGGCTTGACCAGCGCCGCGTGGGAGTCCACGGTGTTCCACTCGAGGCCGACCGGGTTGCGCATGCTCCGCTCAAACTGCTCGCGCGTCTTGAAGGGGAAGGGCACAGCCGCGACCGTGAAGCGCGCCGCCTTCTTGTCGCGCTTCTCCGACACGATGACGTGGCGCAGCGCCGCGTCCTGCCGCCTTGCAGCCGCCGCCTCAAGCTGCTCGCGCCGCGCCTCCGCCGCCGAACGCTTCCGCTCCAGCTGGCGTTTGCCGACGCGCGCCCCCAGACCCGCCCAATCGCCCCAGCCAGGGAGGGTCTCCTCCTCCTCCACGCCGGCTTCCGCCTCGACGACGCCCCGCTTCTCCGCCTCGAACTCGGCCGCGACCGCGCTCTCCGGGAAAGCGGCCTCGACGAGTGCCCGCTGGCTGGCGCACGGCAGCAGAAGGGAGGCGCCTATCGGGCGGGGCAGGGAGCGCGCGAGTGAGAGGGCAGCAGCGACGTCTCGGCGGCGGCGACGGCGAGAGCCGGGAGAGGGAAGGAGAGAGGGGAAGAGGGAGAGAAGCGAGCGTCACCGTCGACCAGCTCGTCCCCGCCGTGGCCGAAGTCAGCCTCCGCGTCCGCCGCCTCCTCGGCAGCACCGTCCGCCTCGCCCGCCACGGCGCCACGCCGGCGCTTGCTCGCTCTCCCCCGCTTGCCCTTGCTCGCCGGCGCTCCCTCCGCCCGAGCCTCGCCCTGCTCGTCTGGCCCTGCAACGCGGACCGCCGCCGGCGGGGCCAGCGCGGCAGCGGCCACACCGCCCGCAAAATGGTCCGATTGCGCGCGCGGCAGCAGCGTGTGGCCAGCGGGAGAAACGATGTCGGGCACTGCCCAACCGCTGCCCGGCTCCGCCTTTGAGGCCGGCGGCCGCGCCGGCGCCGAGGAGGATGGCGCGGGGGCGGCCGCAACGCGCGCAACCGACTTCCCGCCGGCGCCTCTTCTGTCCGCGCGAGGCCGCGCAAGTGCAGGGCTGCCCGCCGCCTCCTGGCCTTCGCTCCCCATGGGCAGCCTCGCGCCGACGGTGACCGCCGCCGCGCCTCGCGTCTTGCGCAACTGCCCCGCCGTCGACAGCGCTGGGAGCGGGGCGGGCGCAACTGCTGGAGGCGCGGCGGGTGGCGCGACCGCCGCCGCCGCCTCGTCGCGGCCGGCTGTGCCCTCTTCGTCGGAAGCATCGCTGCCCTCGTCGCCCCGTCCGCCGGACGCCGGCACCGCGACCGAACCGTGGCGCAAGTCCGCCGACAGCTCGTCGAGCATCTGCTGCGCCTCGCTACGCTGCCGCTCGTGCGCACGGCGCATGAAGGCCATGCCAAACACGCCCTTGCTCGGCCGCTCCGGCTCAGCCTCATTCTGCAGCTTCCACAGTAGCTTTGCGTCCCGCTCGGCCGGCTCCAGCGGCTCGCCGCCCTCGCTCTCGTCGTCGCTGTCGTAGTCGCTGTCGTCGTCGCTGCCGGCCGCCTCCGCGTCCATCTGCTTGCGGCGCAGCTCTTCGCCTTTTGCGACCTGCTCTTGCACGGCCTGGGCGAGCGCCGGGTTGTGCTTCTGCTGCTTGAGCGCGTGCTTTGCCCAGCGCGACCTGCAGACACGCACCCACACGCATGCCGTGAGCCATGTTGTGTGGCTCATGGGCGTGGGGGTTGGGATCCGGAGGCGAAACGTTCAAAGGGCGGTGTTGGCCGCAGAGGCGCGTGGCAGGCGCTCAAAGTGTCTCGAAACTGTCTTGGGAGTGTCTTGGGAGTGTCTCAGGCCCCGCGCACGTGTTCTTGTGCTTGAGGGTCATGCGCTCGCGCACACGCTCCACCTCGCGCTTCATCTGCATGCGTTGCGCCGAGTGCTTGTCCAGCGCCTCCTCCGCCTCCGCCCGCGCCTTGGATGCCTTCTTGTGCACCTTGCGGTACGACCGCGACTTGATCTTGGCGACGCGCTTGGCCTTCGCCTCGTGGTAAAACAGCAAGTCGCGCATCTTCTTCATCTCCGCCATGCGCTTGGCCGCCTGCGAGCGAGCGCGCGGGAAAGGGGAGTGACACACGCCGGCGGCGAGTCTGGGCCGCGTGCTTGGTGGAGAGAGCAGAGGCTCCCGAGCGGCGGGAGAGAGGCCTCGTGTGGCAGTCATGGACGGGTCTTGGACAGGTCATGGACCCGGGGCGGAGCGACCAGCACACCTCTTGCGGGGTGAGGCGGGCGCTCTGGTCGAGGCCGCTCAGCGCCTCGCGCTCCGCGGCCGCGACGGCGCGCTCGCTCAGGCCCTGGAGGGGAGGCAGGAGGGTTGAGCCTTTGCGGCACCCCTTGCAAAAGGGTGCATGTGTGTGGCGGGGCATCCTTGTAGGCGGAGCGGAGCGGATGCTAGCGCCTCGAGCAAGTGTCTCGGAAATGTGCAGGGTCGGATACCTGCGCCTCGAGCAGCTCGTCGACGCCGCGCTCGAGGTCGTTCTTGGAGGCGCCCGCGGTCAGCGAGCCAAGCGTCGCGCCGTGCACGTGCTGCCGCTCCGGCGGGAAGCTCAGCGACTCCGCAGCCGCCTGCTTTTGCACCGCACCCTCCCACCCAGACACGTCGGCGTGCGCCGCCTCCGCCGCAGCCTTGCGCTCGATCCTGCGCTTGTCGCTCAGCTCGAGCGGCGCGGCCAGCTGCGCGTGGGAGGAGCGACGAGCGCCCTGCTTTGCCACCCCCTGCAGGTCGCGCTGCAGCTGCCCAAAGCCCGCCTCGTCGCCGAGCGAGCCTGGTGAGGCAGAGGCAGTGGTGAGGCAGAGGCGGTGGTGAGGCAGAGGCAGTGGTGAGACTGCGGCAGTGGTGAGACTGCGGGCGGCGGCGGTGAGGGCGGCAGTCGTAAGGGCGCAGCAGTGTAGGAGGGGCGGGAGCTGGAAGGGGGGGGAGGGGGGGGGGCAGCCGGGAGAATAGGGGCGGAAGGGCGGCAGGTAAGAGAGAGGCCGGTGTGTGCGAGGCCCGCGCCGAGCAGGTCGTCGACGCTCAGCTGCGGGGCATCGGGCATCGACAGCTCGCCCTCCTCGTGGCCCTCGGTGCGCTCTCGCGGCCGCCGGGCGCCGCTCGCGCGCAATCCCACGGCCTGCAGCATTGCGGCACCCTCGGAGGAGCGGGCGGCCTTCTTCTTGGCCGCGCCGCCGCCACCAGCGCCCTCGCCGTCGCTCTCAGAGAGCATGCGTGAGAGATCTGTGACGTCATCGGGGTCGACCGATGAGCCCATAGACTCCAGATCATCCGGACGCCGCCGGACGCCGACCCCGTCGTCGTCCTCATCCGAGGTGATCTCCTCGTCCTCGCCTGCCAGGCCGCCGTCGCTCTCCTCAGAGTCATCGTCGAGAGCGCGGCGGCGGCGAGCGCCCGCTTCTTCGCGGTCGTCCTCAAAGACGTCCTCCTCAAAGACCGCCGCGGATGGCGGCGTGCCGCGATGCACCTTCTTCGGCATGGGTGGCACTAAGCGTCGACGAGGCCGCGCTGGAAAAAAGAATTTCATTTGCGACGTCCTGATTCCTACATACATACCTCCTAGCATGGAGGACGGGCCCACACGCACACACACGCTGCACACGATTGGCACGGGGGCCGACACGAGGCACACTGTCACCGCGGCCGTAGCACCACTCGCTCGTATCAGACACGTACGGCTGCTTCGTTCGCTCAATCGAGCCTGCCAAACAAAGTAAACCCAAAAACCGCGACGAATCGGCGCGGCAGCGGGCGGACGTCAAAGGACGCGGCCGCGAAGCAAGTGCACGGCGACAGAAAACGTGTGGTCGGCTGGCCAGAGGACGACTCACAATGCAAAATCGGAAAGACATCACGAGGGGCCGTATAAACGGTGCCGCAGCGGCCCGGGACACTAACAGTGAGTTGCTGCCACTCGCCCGGCCTCCTCCCCCTCGGGCTCGCCCGGAAAGTGGGCTTGCGCACCGGCGCCCCCCCCAGCACGCCGACTCGAGGTGTACCCTCCGGCCACCTGGGAGGGGAGCGGAGTCCGATTTTGGCCCATTGGCTTCATCATGATGGATACGGAGGTGGCCAGCCCTTGGTTGTGCACCTGCGGCGCGAAGAGGAGGTGATCTCGGCGGACGACGGCCATGCCGAGAGCGGGCGCAGCGCGGAAGAGGGTGCGCAGCGCGTCGCGGCCGCGCGCTTGGGAGCCGGGCGGGGTGGCCGAAGGGGGTGGGACGCCTGCATGTGCTCGAATCTCCCACCCGCATACGCAAGCCGAGCCGCGAACGGCGGGGAGGGAGTTTTGGAGGGTCAGCCAAGGACGCGCATGGCGAGTGACAAACTAACGCAACCTCCCCCGTCCCTGGTTTCTCATCGTGTCGAGCTCGCTACGTCCTACGAGCTCTCTAACTGCACAGCACTCCTCGTTGAGCCTAGCGGCTCCCGTATCGCCCACGCCAACATTCTTCTTCTTCTTCTTGCCCTTCTTGCCCTTGGGCCCTTGCTGCACTTAGCCGCTCAACCTCCGCCAGCAGCAGCTCCTTGGCATGCCGCGCCGCCTCCATCTGCTTTGCTTCCCACGCTGCCGCTTCCTCTAAAGCAGCGCCGCCACTAAGCGGCGCAACCAAGTTCTCGCATTGTTTGCATGAGCACGTGTCCTGCTTGGCGCGGCGCACAATCCGCGCGCGGCGAGTGAGGTGCGTGAGAGCAGAAGACTGACAGCAGGAGCTGCAGGAGCTGCAGGAGCTGCGCGGGTCGGATGGGCGGTGACGCCGTCGAGCGACGGCGCAAAGGTCAATCGCTGCTGCTGCGCCAACGAGAGCGGCGACACGAGGCTGCTTGCAGCTGGCAGAGCGAATCGCGATTCCGGCGGCCGCCGTCAGCCCGCCGACACCGACGGCCTGGCTGAGGTCAAACTCCTCCACACGTCGGACCAGCCATGCGTCGGCCACGGCGACGAGACGTCTGTATGCAGACAGCCCGACACCCGGGCGATAGAACATGCCAGCTGGGCTCTTCCACAGGGCTCTCGTGGCCCGTCAGGCAAGCCACAGGACCGGCCATGTGCGTGGGTAGTCGAGCGGTGGCCGGAGGTAGCCTCCAGTAGTGCCTCTCAGTTCGACACCTCGGTCTCGACCACTGCCCCTGTCCCTGCCGCCGCCGTCGCCGTCCGATTCCTCCCCGCCGCCCGGCCTGATCCGCGGCGTGCAACGCCCCCCACGCACAAACATGGGCACACACCTCGGCATCGCCGACCCCCCAGCCCCCTGCCGCCGCCGCCGCCGTCCCTGTCGCCCCCGCTTCCACCCACTTGCTTTACTGCCGACTCCAAGTGGAAAATTGGCTGATTTTGGGCCCAAACCAGCCTCAGACTCGGCTCAGAGCCCCCCAAAATTTGACGATTTCCACGGAGTTTTCCCGGGAAAATAGAGAGGAAAAGAGAGGGTGCTGTAGAGAAAAAGGAAAGGAAAAGAGACGGGGTGCGAGAGGAAAAGTATATACAGCCTAAAGCAGGTTTTCCGGAAAACAAAAAGGAAAACAGAGGGTCCCCAGCACTTTGCGTTTCCGGAAATTTCCAGGGAAAACAGAGGGTGTTTGGTGCTCCATTCTGGAAAGTCGCGAGTTTCCCTGAGTCTGAGAGCTGGTCTGGGGCAAAATCTGAGGCAAAATTGAGGAAATCGACAAAATACCCAGGCGGTCGCAGGGTAATTTCCAGGTATACACGGGTTCTCCGCGGAATTCCCGGCATTTTGCCGATTTGGCCTAAAATTTGGCTGATTTTGGGCCCAAACCAGCCTCAGACTCGGCTCAGCGCCCAAAATTTGACGATTTCCACGGAGTTTTCCCGGGAAAATAGAGAGGAAAAGAGAGGGTGTTGTAGAGAAAAAAGGAAAGGAAAACAGACGGGGTGCGAGAGGCAAACCTGCTCTAGCCCAAGGGCTCTCTCGGCTACGGACGGCCTAGACGGGACCGGCCCCAGCTTCGGGCTGAGGTAGTGGTAGAACAAGCTGCCGAGCCCGAAGGAGGTGGGCGTGGGGTGGTCCTCACCCCGGCGGCCCGCGCACGCACGCCGTCTGAGCCTAGCGCAGCGCGAACTCGCTCTGAGCCTAGCGCAGCGCGAGATTTGCGCAGCAACCCGGCCGGGCAACCCTTTTAAAAAGTTTTCAATTCACACGCAAAAGGATTTTTTCAGGCGCCGTTCACATAGTGTCAAATCCTCCCAATGTCCGCTGACTGCTCACCCAGCCAGTGCGTGCGCCTTGCGCTCGGTCCCACAGAGACCGGTGGGCGGCCGTGCAACGACGGCGTGTACGCCGTGGGCGTGCGTGGCATGAGGCTGTCACCTTGCGCCGCCGCTGACGCGTCCTATGCGGCTGAGTTCGCACCGCTGGGCCAAGGCAGAGTCTACCGGGCGCGCGCCGCGGACGCGGACCCAGTGCACCCGTGGCGCTACCTGTGGCACTCGAGCGCCGCTGCCGGTGGCTGGGTTCTGGGTGCGCGCCGTAACCTTCTTTTCTCCACCGTCTGCCCCCCACACATCCGTAACAGGCGTGGATGCTCCGGCTGCCGCAGGCGCCGCCCCGCCCTCCTCCGACGCCGTCCCACTCCACTTCTCCATCGCCGACGCGGGCGGGGGCGTTGGCCTGCCGCTGGGGAGCTGGCACTGGGAGCGGAGCTGCGCGGCGTGCCTCGGCCCCTCGCCAAAGCCAGAGACGGCCCTCCTCTCGCTGGCCTGCGCGCCCTGCTCTCCGCCCGTCGCCGAGCCGCCGCCAGCGGGAGGGGGCGCGCCGGGCGCATCTTCCCTCTCCGTCGTCCGCGTCTCCTGCACCTCCATCGACTTCAGCTGGCGGCCGCCGCTGCCGCCACTGTGGCCACTCGACGCGCCGCCTCCCTCAGAGTACGTCTTGCGGGGGGTCGCGACCGCCACCGAGGCGGGCGCCCCGGCGTCGACCGAGATGGCCGAGGTGCGGTCGGCGGGCCTCTCTGCGCGCGTGAGCGGCCTGCAGCCGGGGTGGACCTACTCCCTTCGCGTGGCTCCGCGCGGCGCGAGCGGCGTTGGCGGTCGGGCGACCGCCTCCCGCCCCCTCTCCATCACCACCACGCGGGTTCGCGATTCTTTTGTGCGAGGGAAAGGCGCGAGGCGGGACGCAGGAGCAGCTCACCGCCCTGCGTCTCCCCCCTCCGCAGGTGCGGGCCGAGCCTCCCGACGAGTGGCCAATCGAGGCGCGCGCCGAGGGCTTCGACGCGAGCCGGTACGGCGTGGGTTCGCCCCTCGCCGCCGCCGAGTCCGCCGCGCCGTTCGACGCGTGCAGCACCGCGCAGTTCTCGATCCCCGCACCGCCAACTTGCGCCGGCGACGCCGCATCTCTGCTGTGCCGCCGCGCCGCCGCGTCGGGCGCTTGGGAGCAGGACATGTGGGCGTGGGGCGCTTGTGCCGCGACGCGCCGGGTCTCGTCGGGCGGCGCTGCATCGAGGCACACGTGGCTGGTTGGCGGGCTGCGGCCGCTGCAGTCAGTGACCGTCCGTTCGCGGCTCACCTTTCGAGAGCCTGCCCTCCCCGAGGGTGGGGGCGGGGGAGGGGACGGGGGCGCGGCGGGAGTGCCGCACGCCAAGCAGACGCGCTGGGGTGCACAGGTGGGTCCGAGCCTCGCCGGCTGGCCCGCGCCGTCGGTACTCGCGCCACCGCGCGCGCGCGCGCTCTCCTCCGCCTCCTTCGAGGTCCTGCCGCCCAGCGACCCCTTCCCGCGCTGCCGCGCCGCCGCGGCCGCGCCGGTGAGGTGGCGGGTCGAGGTGGACGATGGCGCCAGCGGAGAGCCAGAGGGCCGCTGGCGGGCGGTGCCGGCTACGGCGCACCGCGGCGACGGTTCCACTACTGGCCCGCTCGGAGGCGGCGGAACCACGCTCGAGCTGGACGTCACGCTGCGTTGCCCGCCGCCCCGCGGCTGCGGCTTCCGCCTCGTGCCGCTGAATGTGGAGGGCGTGAGCACGGCTGGCGCCGCCGTGCGTGCGGTGTCGGCGCGTCTGCCTGCCCCGTCGGGCGCGACGGCGGTGTGGATCGAGTTGTGGCTCGTCGAGACGGCGGCGCTGCCTGTCGGGGCGCCTTCGCACCCCTCCGGCGGCAGCGCCGCGTTGCTCGCCCGGCACGCTTGCCTTGCCGCGGAGCTTGCCGCGGCGCTGCGATTGCTGCCCGCCGCGCCGCTGCTGGCAGAGTGTGAGGCGGACCCGGCGTCGGTGGCGGGAGTCGCCGCCTCGGCGGGGGTTCGCGTGCTCGAGTCGCGATTGCGAGGCACCGCTCTCGTCGTCGAGCTCCCGCGGGCTGCCGGCGCGCAGGCGCTGGCTGCGGGCCTCGAGGCTGCCGTCGGGGGAGGATGGAGGGCGGATGGCAGTCGCTCCAGCCGCGAGCACCGCTCCGTCGCCGTCGCGTTGCTCTCTGGTGCCATCGCCCCTCTGCTCAACGCGAGCCGCGGCGTGCTGCGCTGCGTCGCCCCGGGCTGCAGCACCGATGACGCGTGGGCACAAATGACGCCGGGCGTCGTCGCGCTCGCGGCGCGGCGGTCGCCAGACGAGCAAGGCTTCGACTGTAGACATATACAGACGGTGAGGCAGGGATGCGGGAGGTCACCGGCGCAAACACTTGGCCGCGATAGTGTACAGTACTGGACACAGACGGTGCGCACACACGCGCACGCACGCACGCGACGGAGCGCCTCTCAGACGAGTAATCTCGCGTGTCCACAGGTCTCGGCGCGGCGGCATCTGCGGCGCGCCGACACGGCTCCCTGCTGCCGCTCCTGCTCCTGCTCCTGCTCCTGCCATCAAGCGCCTTTGGCCTGGCGGTGCTGTGGCGTCGGACGGCGCGGCGGCGCGGCGAGGCGGACGCACAGCTGATGGCGGCGGAGCTGTTCGTTTTCATGGTCGACGAGGTGAAGTCCCCACTGCGACGCTCGTCCACATAGCATGCATTTGCTAGCTCGCGGCACGTGATTGCTCGCGTCCGCCTGTTCGTCGACGCAACCCCCTTCCCCCCCCCCCCCCCCCCTAGTTGCACACTCTCCACGCCACACGGGCTTGGACGCGGAGGTTTGTTGCGTCGCCCCCTCTGTAGGTGCTCCCCGCCGTTCAAGCCACCGTGGACAAGTTCTCGAGGGCTGCTCACGGTGCCGCCGGCCGGACGGCAGATGCGTGGCGCGACCCGACCCTCGCCGCCGCCGACGTGCGCGCCCGCTCATACCCCCGCCGTTTCGGTTGTGGCGTGAAATGTTTGGGTCACGGTGGCTGAGCCGGTCCTCAATAGGCGCGCGCAACCCTATTCACCGTCTGCGGCAGATTGGGCCTCGACTACGCGCTCCCTCGGGAGGCGGCGGAGAGAGTGCAGGAGGCGACGCCTTTGGCCACGCCGGCACGCGCACGCGTCTCCCCGCTCACATCTCCATGGCGCTGGTCAATCGGCGAGAGCCCTCTAGCAGCGGCGGAGAAGGGGCTGAACGGCGCACCAGAGAAAATGGCGCTGACCGGGGCGGCGGCGGCGACGACCGACGACGGAGAGCAAGGGTTCGACGCGGACCTCGCCGCCATCCGTGCGCGCCCTTGACGGCGGCCCGGTGTGTGCTTGTTCCCCGAGCCCCCTCACGTTCTCTGGCTTCCCGCTACGCGTGTAGGTGCGCGCATCGCGAGTGGGTACCGCCAGCAGCGCGGCTCTGCTGTTTCGCCGCGCGGAACCGATGTCGCCGTGCCGGCGCCTGGGCGGGCGCTTGCGCCAAATGCTCCGGCCGCGTTTGCTGCCGTGCAAGCCACCGAACGCTCCCCGCCGGCCGGGTTTGGTGCGAGGTGGGAGGACCAGGAGTCGGAGATTGGTTCGACCGCGTCTTCGGTGCGTTGGGTCGGCTCCCCGCACAAGGCGCGGCACGAGCGCGGCTACGCCGAGGGCGCCCGCGAGACGGGGCGCTTCAGGGCCCTGACGAACCCGGGGACGATCGACTCGGACCCGATCTCGCGGGCAGTCGCGTTGCTGGGTCGGCTCCCCTCTGTCGGATCCGCCTTTGCAGCATCCGACGTGAGTGCCGTGAGTGCGACCGACCGAGAGGTGGCAGAGCTGATGAAACAGCCGGTCCTGGACCACGGGGAGGTGGTGGAGGAGGCCGAGGTGGACGTCGTCCGGGTGGTGCCGCGGCGGCACCAGGCTCTGCCAACGCCCTCCCAATTCGGAGACTTTGGCTCCGATGTGGGAGGGCCCACGATGGCGGATCTGGGATCGCTCATGCAAAACATGGACGCTTTTCGTAGCAGCATCGCCGCGGGCGGCCTCGAGGCCTTGCACGAGGCTCCGCCCGAGGACATGGCCGCCAAGGAGGACCGCGAGGAGCAGTCGTGGATGGCAGCAGAGCCGCCGCCGCCGCCGCCGCCGCCGCCGCCGCTGCCGCCGCGTTTTGAGAGCCCTGTGCGCCTAGTGGATCTGGCTCCGCCGTCCGCGGGCGCCGCGGGCGCTTTCCCGGGCTTAGGCGGCGCGTCCGGCGCGGCGGCTGTGGGAATGCCGGACGAGGACGCTGCAGACGCCACGGATACGAACGCCGGTGCCTCGGTGGCCGGTGTGCGGAGCCAGAGGGCGGGCATCGGGTCAGAGGAGGAGGAGGACTTAGGAGCTGTGCTCGATGATGACGAGGAGGGCGAGCTGCTGGATGCGGAGGAGGAGGAGGAGCAGCCGCTTGGCGGCGGCATGGACATTTGAGGAGACGCCGACGAGTGTTCGAGATAGAGCGAGAGAAGGTGAAGAGAACGAAGTCTGAGTGAGACCAGTGAAGGACATCAGACGCTTTTTGCGTGGTAGTGTGCCCGTTCGCGCCCGTGGTGTACTTGTCTTCGTGCCAGTGCGCGCCCGGACGCCGTGCCCAGAAAGCACATCATTCTTTTTGATTCAAAAAATCTTTTTTGTGGCTCACGTGGGTACCTGTGTGTTGTTTAGTGCCAGAAAGAATAAGAATTTCTCGGGTCCGAGGGCCGCCTCAACTGGAGTAGGGAAATTTGGATTTTGGTCAAACGCCTGCTGGGGGCAGCTTCGCGGAAGTATTCCGGAAGCCAGATGATCCCACTTGTCAACAGCAGGCGCCAGCGCCAATCAAATCTCCCTAGTGATGTTGACAACGGGCAAGTCGAGATGGGCAATTTGACCATGAGTCGTTCATCGGGGATGAACTCCACGTCGTAGTTAATGGATTCCGATCGGCCAACCGTCTCGCGACAGAGCCACCGAAGAACAGTGGGAGGGCTTTACCGACCCGACTCGGCTGAGCCGTCGGTGCCCGCCGCCCTCGCATTGCGCAGCTCGCGCACATCTCCCTCTTAACCCACCTGTAACATACATAGGGTGCCCACAGGACCCAAAAGAAAATAGCTTTCCGGCTCAAAAAGGGACGCACGAGGCAAATCTGATGTTGGCCAGTTCCAATAGGAGAGAGGCCTCTTCCGTTGGGGGACCGAGTACATAGGAAACGAGGGTTCCCCGGTTTGTCACGCGCGAGCGCGAGCGTGACACTGCACTTGGCGCCGAGCGCCCGCGGCTCAGACCTTGTGCAGGCCACCCCTCGGTGGTCACGCCGGTCCGGACCGATGGCGCTCGGTGTGGAGCAAGCAAGACCCCCCCCCCCCCCATCGGCGCGCGCTCGCCATTCCAACGGCCGCCAGGAGCACCAAGAGGACTCCTCATGGCTGTGACCAAGTGGGATTCGACCGGCCTCGGCTGGGGGGGCGGGTTGTCCCGGCTGCGGACGCCTTCTGCAGCCCCCTGGGCGTGGGTCAGCACCCAAAAACTGCCCCTCGGCGGCATACAGCACTGCCAGCCAGCCTCTTCCTCAAGGGCTGTACTATAGGCCATATTGCGCCGCCTCCTACTGGCAGCCGGGCGGGCGCGCGCCGCGGGCGCCTCGGCGCGCGCACGGCTCGCAAAGTTCGAACGAGTACTGCCGCCCGGCCGCCTCAAGGCTGCCGGACGGCAGTACTCGCCTCGCAAGGCGCGCACCGGCTGCTCTGGCTGCTGCGCCGGCGGCCGCTGCGCTGGCCGCTGCTGCGCCGGCTGGCGGGCGGTACGGCCGCCGGCGGCCGCTGCACCCGCGCCTTCCCTCGCGGGCGCCGTCGCGCCGCGCGCGCTCAACTCTGGTGGCACACGGCACGCGTCGTCACTCAGCCGCGGAGAACAGGCGGTGCAGCGCGCGAAGCGCGCGCGATCTCGTACTTTTAAGGCTGGATCCGGCCATTCCAAGGGTATACCTTTGAGAATCCCCAGCGTCCCTCCCTCCTAGTCACACTCTCAATATCTCGACTGGCCAACACGAAGTGCTGCGATCTGGGGTGGCCCATTTCTTTTTTCTTTTCTTTTTTTGGGCCCTGTGGGCACCCTAATGAATCATACATCACATAAAGGTATTGCTAAAAAACTCTCTCTATGGGCTTCCAGTATCGGACCTTCAAGACATGCGCTTTTGGCCGATGGCCTCCTCGGACAGGCTTGTATTTAAGAATTCTCTCGGGGCCTCTTTATAGGGAAGAATTTTGATAGCCGTCTGCTTACACGAGCTGGTGAATTCTTTTTATCTGCTTCGCCCGATGCTCTCTCGCGTGAGATCGGCAGTGTCGCCGCGGTTGGGCCTCGCGCTGCGCACGTCGTACGCGCGGCTCAGCACCGAGACGCCGCCAGCTGCCGAGCCCGCCAAGAAGCACTTTCTCCGGACAGCCGAATTCTGGGGCTTTGGCGGTGCGTTGGCCGGCTGGGGATTGATGGGCTCAGCCATCTACGACGCCCTGTACCAGGGCCCAGAGGTTATCTCGATGAACATGACGCCCGTTCAGATCGTCTACTCGTCCCTCTTTGCGCGCTGGGCGTGGGTGGTGCAGCCGCGAAACCTGATGCTCTTTTTTTGCCACGTGTCGAATGTCCTCGCGCAGTCGAACCAGCTCCGGCGCGCCTTTGAGTACCAGGTGGAGCAGGGCAAGGCCGACGAGGTGAGGGCGGTCGGCATGCAGGCGGGCGCGGGCGCCGTCGGGTTGGCGGCGCTCGTCATGGCGGGGCCGAGGATGCAGGCCGCTATGGTTGCGATGTCCATTCCGGGTGGCCTTGCCTAGCGCATGCACTCTGGCGAAGCGCCTCGGCAAACACAGGGCTTTGCGAGTAGGCATCTCGTCCTTTGCCGGCGCCGCGAACGGTCCCTTCTCGCCCTCGACCTTTCGCCCGCTCCTGCAGCAGCAGGCGGAGACGGCGCGTCCTCTCTTTAGGCCCGTTCACCGTCCACTTCTGGGCTCCGATGAGCAAGTGGCTCATCTCCGGCGCCCAATGCCCGCCCGCCCGTGGGGTGGCGGGCGCCACACAGCGAGGCCCGGACGTGCGCCTGAATAGGCGCAAACTTTCTCGACCTCGAACGGCCCGTGGAGAAAATCTCGATCGCCCAGATGTCAGCGCTGACGGTGACGAGATAGTTGTGCACCCCCCTTCCCCCGCCCCTCGCGCCCGTTTGCGCGCCCCCGCCCCGTGCTGGCGAGGCACCGCGAGAGCCCACACGTGCATACCCAGGTGACCGGCTTCTTCTTCATGCCCTACGCGCTGCTCGTCACGCCGATCAACTATGTGCTCTGCTCTGTCAACATCGCTCTGTTTGGCTCGTCCGCTTGGCGCCTCTCAAGCTCTCGAGAGCAAAGCTCGAGACGGCGTCTAAATCGGGAGCGCGTTTGCTCTAGGCACCTCGGTCGCAAGGTCAAGGCGGACTTCCTCTCGTAGCGGACGGCGGCGCCCAGCAGCAGGCGGCGACCCGCAGCCGCGCAAGGGAGAGGGCTGTACGCTCGCGCGGACACATATGTTGCTCGATTATGCCCGCGCCCAGGCATTCGGGATTCTGTTGCAGGCGGTCACTGTGCATGAGGCTATACAATTACAGATCTAGGGAGGGGGGTAGGTTGAGCCGCGCGGGGGTTTCGCGGTGAAGAGGCACGCGTGACGCTGACGGTGTAAGTGTCGCATAGTCCATAGAGGACGCCGACATAACGCAGAGATACGCAGTCCTCATGCGTCATGCTCATGTGTACATGGCTAGACCGGAAATGTCGTTTTCTCTGTCCCGGGCTTTTTCGAGAGACTCAGACTGCTGATTCACAGAGCTTCAGAGGGTGAGGGAGAGCGAGAGGCTCCCCCGCCCCGCCCCCGTGCCCCCCCACGCGCCTCAGCTGGGATTGTGCGCACCCGAGCCTCTCGCTAATCTACGGCCCCGCATTCAGCAAGGGAAACTACCACTTAGCGAGGCAGTCCGAAGCGTGGACCACCTTGAACTTGCCCCCGGGCAGCGAGACGTCGGCGCCCGCGTACTTGCCAAACAACACGTGCTCGCCTGAGGCAGAAGGTTCGGGGCGTCTCTAGTCGACGGCCGGCGCCACCGTCGTCCGTGAGGCAGACGTTTGAGCGACGGGGATTGCCGTCAGCGGCGAGCACGGCTGTCTGTTGTGGGTTTGCGCGCGCCTGCGGAAATGCCCACCGGGACCACCTCGCCGGCGGAGGTCATCCGCCCGGGCCCGGCCGCAACCACCTGAGCAAGCGGCGTGTGAGCCAATGAGGCGCCGCGCCGAGGGCGAAGGTGTGCACATGGACATGGGCGCCAAGCGCAGCGGCGCGCACCTCGCCCTGCGTCGCCGCCTCGTCGTCCCCGGTCGCGAGCGCAATGCCAGAGGAAGTCTCGCTCTGCGCCTCGGCTAGCCTGTGGAGTCCGGCGGGCTGCGTTCTGAGAGCGTGCGCCCCGTCCCGAGCGAATAGGTTCACTCTTCTCGCCTGACAAGCAGCCGGTCGCGCAGCGGGCAAAAGGTGTCGGCCTGCACGACGCCGCCCTTAAACGTCCCAAGGATCCCGTCGTCGGACACGAACTGGTGCGACGCGCCATTGTAGTCCACCTACGAGCCGAGGGCGAGAGCGCACGGGCGGGTTGAGTCGCGTCGCGAGGATTCTGCTTGATGGCATATGATTCGCCTTCTCGCCGGCAAACTCGCCCAATAGCACCAAGTCGCCGCTCTTCACCGCGGTGGGGAGCGTCGCGCCAGTATCAGGATGGACGCGGCCAGGGCCAGCCTCCACCACGACGCCCTCGCGAGGCTTCTCCTTCTCCTCCGCGGCCAGGAATAGGCCGCCCGTGGTGGTCTCGTCCGAGCGTGAGAGCTTGACGAGCGCCTGGTTGTAGACGGGCAAGAGCGGGCCCGGAAGAGGGTAGTTGTTGAGCGAGTACTGCATCGCTGGCGCGCCGCGCCGCGCAGACGCGGCCGTGGGCGAGCCCAGCGAGTAGGCCACCGGGCCGAGCACGCAGGCCAACGCGACGCCGGCCATAGTGTTCTCGCGGATCTGGCACGCTCTCACGCACTCACTCTCTCGAGGTCTCTTGGGAAGACTACCGGCGGACGCCCCGGGGGGCGAGACAAGAACCCAAGGGCCAGACGACCCTGGGTGGGCGGGGCCTCTACTCACTCGCGAGCTCGCGGATCGTGCAAAGCCGCCACAATAATTTTTTTCAATTGTTGCCCGGCCGGGTTGCTGCGCAAATCTCGCGCTGCGCTAGGCTCAGAGCGAGTTCGCGCTGCGCTAGGCTCAGACGGCGTGCGTGCGCGGGCCGCCGGGGTGACGGCGGGTGAGGACCCCACCTCCTTCCTCGGGCTCGGCAGCTTGTCGGGCTCTACCACTACCACTACCTCAGCCCTCAGCCGAAGCTGGGGCCCGTCAGGAAAGTGGCCCCTCCGATATGTAGCGGACATCCGCGCTACATATCGCCTCGGCCGATACGTATCGCTGGAGGGTGCTATGTAGCGCCCCGTGATATAGCGCCCGGCGGTGATACCATATCGGCGCCGCTACCAACCATAACGCCTGGTGTGCTACATACCGGTCAGTGCCACCCATATCGCTGCCGGGTGATACACATCGGCGGCGCTATATACCGGAGTTGCGTGGTACATATCACCCCAGCCGGCTATATAGCGCCTCAGATCGCCACATAACGCTCGCGCTACATATCGGTCTAACTGGTGATATGTAGCACTCGCGCTACTTATGGGTCCGGCAGCGATATGTATCGCTGGCACTGATACGTATCGGCCTGGAGCGCTGTGTACCGACTCTGCTATGTATCACCCGCTGGTGGTATGGTCACGGCTGCGCTTCTCTCGCCAATGTTGCGCTATGTTACCGGAGGCGGTACATAGCAGTCCGGGCCGATATGTACCGGCGCCAGCGCTACACATCGCTGCCGGACCGATATGTAGCGCCAGCGATATGTACCGCCAGTTTGACCGATATGAAGCAGGGGCGGTATGTAGCGCCTCAGCGTGTGCCGTGTGATATGTAGGGATCCCTACCAGGTAGCGAAAAATTAGGTGCCCGGTAACAGCGCTGCGACCGCGAAGTGGCGGTGGACATGCTCCCACGTTGCCGACGCAGCGCCGGAGTGGCCGGCGCTGCTCGCCGCGACCACGACGGCTACTCCGCTGCTCCGGGACGACCTGTCCTACCCGACGGTGGCACTCTTCCTCCACGTCTCGCTCACGCTGAGAAAAATTCTGATCCGGCTCCAAGTGCTCCAGGTGCTCCGGCGTGCAGCAGAGTCGCCGACGAGTCGGTCCGCGTGCCTCCTCGTGTCCCGTACCGTTCTCACACATCCATAAACTCACTTTGGCCTCACGGTGCCGGCCTTGCCATACGGTCTGCGAGCGTGTTCTGCACGGTCCTGGCAGTCGCCGTCGCAGCGCCAATAGGCACCGCTCGCCAACAGGTTAGCCATACCGAGGCGGGTCCGTACGTGAACGCCGCAGGGTCACAACCCCTGGGCCAGTTGTTGGTGGAACCACCTCAAGGCCGGCGTGCGTGCGCGGGCGATGGACTACGCCAGCAGCTCAAGGGCTTGCTCCCTCCTCACCACCGCGCGCGCGCTGCTGCAGGAGCGCCGCGTGACGCACTGCGGCATGCCGCACTGCGACATGCCGCAGCTGCACCGTTTCCCTCCGGACACCATCGTGAACTCGGTGGCCTGCGAGGACGCGGTCAGCACCGCGCCGGATCTCTCCTGAGAGCCGGCGCGGATCGCGGATGCAGCTTTAAGGCTCTGCCGGCGAATCTGTGGCCTGGCATGGCGTATGCCAGGCTGCGGGTCCAAAGTGTCCCGGCGCGGCGCGCGCCACCGCCCCTAGCGCGGGGCGGGATGTCAGTACGTGAGTACGGTGTCCCTGTCCCTGTGCTCCACCTTGGTTTGAGTCAGGCTTCGGGCCTGGCCTAATCGCTCGCGCGCGGGTGTGCCTGCTTGGCTCAAGCCAAACAACAGCAAACACTTACGGTATGGCTCTCTGATGCCCAATGCGTGCACTCGTCCCTCTCTGTAAAGCCGTACGGCTTTATGTGTGGGTTCGTGTGTGCGGGGGCCCTCCTTGTCTCTGTGCCTAGTAGGCTAAGCCTAGACAGTGTGAGGTAACACCTACCTACCTACCTACTTTGGCCTCACTGAAGCGATGCCTGAATCCTGAATCCTCAGATTTTAGATTACATGAAGGACGCTGCGCACCCTCTAGCTGATCTTGCTGATGAGTGATGCGTGAGGCTAAAAAGTAAAATGACTGTGTGACACTCCAAGTGCTCCAAGTGTCCCGGTGCCCGGCGCCGACGTGCGACGACCTCGTTCGGCTCGCGGCCGCACACAACTTTTTTTTCTGTGTACTTAGAGAGCCACACACAAAGCTGCACGCACTACACGCCCTTGTAGTACGCTCTAGCCAACAGTGACTCGACTCGCCCGCGCCGCTCGGTCTCGCTCGCCCGCGCCTCCGCCCGGCCGAAGGTACTCTATATATTAGGTGCCTCGCGTCGAGATGTCACCCACGACCATCCGAAATCATAGGTATTATGTGAGATCACCTCCTACTCAATAACGACGGTACCGCCTGCAGCCTCGAGCTTCTCCTGCGGGGATCGGGTGCGAGGAAGCAGCGGTGTCCGGGAGGGCTGCGGACGCCGTTCGCTCTTTGTTCGATGGGAGCAAGAGCGCGTGTCGGCGCATCCCAGAGTCGGTGGGGCTGGCGTCGCGGCGTCGCAGTACGAGCAGACCGAGGGTGGGTGGGGTGGTGGTGGTGGCAGGGTGTGCATGGGGGGAGGGGTGGTGGGGCGGGGTGGGGGCTCGCTCCTTGAGCTCCTCCGCTTCCTCCTGCAGGCATGAAGGGCGAGGGTGAGGGGTGAGGGTACGTGCTGACTACGGTGGCGACGGCAGGGGGGCGGCGCCACCTTTTTGACGTCGGCCTTGATCTCCTTGGGCGCGTTCTCCACCAGCTCCTTTGCCTCCTTCAGCCCCAGGCCGGTGAGAGCGCGCACTTCTTTGATGACCTGTTTGGGGGTGGGTGGGTGGGTGGGTGGGTGGGGGGGGGGGGAGGATTGTTGCGTGAGCACAACTCGTATGCACTGCGGCGGGCACTTTGAGCGCAATGGGCGCTCTTCCGTGCTGCCTCAGCCCGAAGCCCCACGGAGCTATCCCGCGAGCTCAAGCCGGTGGACGGGAGAAGGTGGGCTGTGTGCGGGCGGCGCTGGGTGGTGTCGCGTGCGCGCAGCCGTGAGCGCCAAGTGGTCTTCGCGCCGGGTTGAACCCTCCCTTCCTCGCGCACCTTAATCTTGCTCGCGGGGTCAAACTTCTCCAGCCTGACGCTAAACGCCGTCTTCTCTGGCGCTGCCGCCTCCTCCGCTGCCGGCGGCGGCGTCGCACCCGCCGCCGGCGCAGCGCCCGCTGCCGGCATCATCATCGCGTCTGATATGCCGAGTCGCTCCTGATTACGCGGGTGGAGGTGAGGGAGAGTGAGAGGAGAGGGAGACTGGGCGCCGTGACGCTCCTGTGAGCAGACTCCCTGTCCAGGGCTCGAGAGGGGAGGGGGAGGGGAGGGAGGCGGCCGCGGCGGCGGGAGTTGAAGGGTGGGTCGGCGTAGGTGGTCCGGCGCGCGGCCGCGGCGATAGTGCTGGTGGTGTTGAGCGTGTGCTTGCGGCCGTGAATGCTTGGCGGTGATGGCGCGTGCCTTGAGGGCGTCGGTGAGTTGCGCCGCTTCGAGGAGGCTAAGAGAGGCGATCTGGTCGACAAGATCCTTGATCTTGGGATCCATATCCTCCTCCGCGCTGCTCGACCGCAGCCGCACCGCCCCCAGTGGCTGCACCCGTGCCGCCGCCCGCTGCAGGGCCGTGGCTGCACGCCCCCGCTGCACGCCCCCGCCTGCGCAGGCCCCTGCCAGCACGCCCACGCCCCGCCGCGCTGCCGCACTGTTCAACGCAAGCGCTCGCAGAGGCAATGGCCCGACAGACACGACGCGCACGCGAACATGCGACATGTCGGAGATGCAAACAAAGAAACTCGGGAGGGGTCAGGGCTCTTTAGCCCGTACCCCGATCCCGATCATCCGGCCCGCTGGGTGCGCTTCTGAGCTCCCCGGCCCTGGATGTGAGGCTGATGACTGCACTCCAAGTGCTCCAAGTGCTCTGTCTTCCGCCTTGGCCCTCGCTGCCCGCCTTCCCTCGCCAACCCGCCCCCTCCCGTCGCCGCAGGAAGCCTGCCTCCGCACGAGCGAGGCGAGCCGCAAGCCCCGCACCTCGCCCGCACCTCGCCCGCACCTCGCCCGCACCTCCCCCGCACCTCCCCGCCGCCTCCCTACCCTGAGGAGACTGCGCTGTCTTGCCCTGCCCGCTCTGGCCCCGTCCCCAACCCCGCCTCCTCGCGACACCAGCTCCACCCCGCCCTCGCTGCGGTGCGTCCGAGCTCGACCCGCCGCCATCGCGCGAGAGCAGGCTCCTCCGCCTGCGGCGAGATGACCCGAGATCACCCGAGATTAGGCTCCTCAGCCTACGGCGAGTCTGTGCCGCTGGTGCGCTCCTGCCCCTCCTGCCCTCCCCTCATCTCTCTGGCAATGCGGCGTACGATGCCGGCGCTGCGGCGACGTTGGAGGCGCCTCGGCCGAACGCGGACGCAGCGGCGGACGCTCACCCTCCGAGCGGGTCACTGCACGAGCTGGTAGAGATGATGGACACTGAAGAGGTGTTGGAGTTCATTGGAGATGTCGAGTCGCAGGAGGTGGGGTGAGAGAGTGCGTCGCGAGGGGTGTTTTGTTTTTGACGTGCCTTTTTGCTTTGTTTGTAATCCTGGCGTTGGCTGAAAATAGTGCTCAAACCGACCAAGTCAAGCGGAAATCGGCCCAACGAAAACAGCACTAGTTAAGGGCAAAAACCGATTTGCTGTGGGGGGCGTAATGGCGTGCCAAAATCGGCGGCAAGAATCTTACCTTATATTTTCCCGTGTCCGGATTTCCGTTTCGGAGCGACGGCACAGTTCCCATAATTTGAGGATTCTGTTCACGGCGGGCTGGTCTCCAGGGGAGAGTAGGAGGGTGGTGTCGTCGGCGTATTGGCTGATAATGTATCGGATTGCGTTTATTTTTATTCCATTTATCTCGCTCTCTGGAGATTGCATGATTAATCTCGTGAGAGGCTCGGTGATTAGTAAGAAGAGGAGGGGGCTGAGTGGGCAGCCTTGTGCTACTCCAGATCGGATGTTAAATTTTGGTCCGAGGTACCCATTGGTGTATAGCTGCCTCTCGGGGGCATTATCTTGTGAGTATGCTAGTTTAATGTAAGAGATGAAGTCGTCGTCAAACCCGATTTTCTTGAGCGCCTTGAGCAGGAAGTCCCAGGAGCATCGGTCAAACGCTTTCTCCAACTCCATGTCTAGAAAGAGGAAGTAACCGTCTTCGTCTTCCTCTTCAAGGTATGATTGGACCAGTTTTAGGAACATGATGTTCTCTCCGATGAAGGCGTCTGGTACGAAGCCCGTTTGGGGGGAGGAGACGAACTGGACCGCAGCCTCTGCCATTCTTCTCGCTAGGATTCTCATCATAATTTTGTAGTCTCCGTTGAGGAGCGTAATGGGGCGGTAGTTTCTCGGGTCGGTTCTCTCTTTTTTCTTGTAAAGGACTGAGATTAAGCCGTCTGAACACCCTTTAGGTAGTGATCCTCGCTGTTTGCTCTCGGCGTAGACCCGCTCGAGTATGGGGGTGACCTTTGCGGAGAATATTTTATAGAAGGCGTTTGGGAGTAGGTCGGGGCCTGGTGATTTGCCCGTGGGTAGCATATCGCATGTGTCCTGGATCTCCCCTGCGGAGATTGGCGCGCCACATTTAGCGGCAGTAGTTGGGAGGACTCTGTTAGTGTTTTTGAGCTGCGTGTGCGATGTTTAAGGTGTAAGAGTAAAGCGGACACACGCATGGCATCGCTCTCGCTCGGGCCCACAAACATCCCGCACACCCGCCGCCCCCGCGCGCGCGCCCCACCGCGGGAGAAAGGGGAGTTAAATGTAAGCCGCGGCCGAGTTTTTTTCCCACCACATCGAGGGGTCCCGTACCATGCGGAATCGACCCTATCAAGTGCTCAAGTGCTCAAGAAGAGAACACTTGCGCCCCCTCGCTCCCAACCCATCCACCTCGCCGAGTGCCGAGCCGTCGCAGAATTTTTTTGGCCCCAAGTTCCATGATTGCCTTGGGGGGGCGCCCCCCCAGGATTGCCTTTGTTTGGGGATTGCCTTTGGAAGAAAGAAAGAAAAGAGAGAACGCAAGGGAGGGATTAGAGGACGGCACGCCGCCACCACACAGGGATTTTAAGGAGAGGAGTGTGGTGCTAGCCGTCGCCCACCCTCGGGCGTCTCCACCGTACTTTAGGAGCGAACTTTCTTTTGCACATCTTCCTTTTGTGGTGTTGGTGTACGCAATAACGGGACAGGGTAGTCGTTCTCTCTAGCTCCCCTTCTAGCTCTTAGCATGAGCTGCGCCCTGTGTCCGACCCCTTTTGCGCAGCAACACCTTAAACTTTTAGGCCCTCCAAATTCGGGTCGGAGCGTAGGTAGCGGAGTGGGCCCCGAGTTTGAAAAGGACGACGGACGCTTGCGTCCTAGCCTCCAACAACGCCTCCCCGGCGCAGAGGGGCCCCCGGAGGGATGCTCAACCGCTCCACGCCACGCCGCTTGGGCGGTCCTATTCCCAGCTCCGCTGCGTGGCGTGCGTTGTCTTTCGCACATTCGGGTATGTTGTTGACTCTCGCTGTGGCGCCGCTCGCCACGCCGTCAGAGTCCGACTGCGCGGCTTGGGCTGCGAGCGGGGAATGCGCCGCAAACCACGAGTACATGCGATCAAACTGTAAGAGCGCCTGCGACTGGAACGAATGCTTGGAGCGGTCAGTCGAATGCGAAGCGGCACCGCACACGCTGTCGGTCGTCTGCCCGGGCCTGTGCAGCAGCTCCGATGCCATCACCTCGCTGCCGCTGCCGTGCGATGCTGATCAGGCCCGCTGCGATTCGCGGAAATTTCAGCTCGAGGCGAGCGGAGGTCGGAAGCTCAAGGCGTGCGTGCGCTGGGCTGAGTCGGAGGAGTGCGACAAAAATGCAGAGTACATGCTCAGCGCGTGCCCGCTTGCATGTGCGGAAAGGTCCGCCGCCAAGTGCGCTCGCTGGGCTGCTGCTGGTGAGTGCGAGACCAACGGTGCGTGGATGCGGCACGGGCCTTGCGCACGGGCGTGCGACGCCTCGATCGGCCGCGTGGCCTGCGATGCGGCGGCCTGCGCCTCGATCCACAGCGACCACGGCTGTGCCCTCCAAAGCAGTGGCAACGGCACGGTCAGGCGCCGACGCGTGAACCCGCCCGGCTACAATGAGACGGTGGAGCTCTCGGTGCGAAACGATGGCGCGGCGACGCTGCAGCTGTTCTATGCTGCCGAGGACGGCACGGAGACGGGCTACGGCGTCGTGCCCCCTGGGGCCCGCCTCGGGCAGGGCACCGTGGTGACGCACGACTGGCGACTCCGCCGCGACCTCGACTTGCTCCGCAGGTGCGTCTTGCTTCAACCGTAGGTTGGGCACGTGTGGCGGCTGCGCGAGGTGGTTCCAACGGGCTCGAGCCGGCAGCAGCAGCGCGGCAGGCTGGTTCGTGAGCTGGTCGCGGGCGTCGTCTCTGTCGCGCAGTGCGCTTGCGAGGCCCACTTGCGTCCCGCCGCCGACTACCCGCCTACCGGCGCACAGGAGGGCGCTCACCACGCCCCATGAGCCCGTTTCTCGTTCCGCACTGGGAGCTCCGTAACGCAGGAGGGCGTCAACTCGAGCTCCCTCTTGCTCCTTGCTTCTGGGCTCGCGCAGCGGGCTGCCGCGTACCGTTGGAATGGCGCGCGCCGTTAGCGTCGGGGCGACGATCCAGGAGTGCTCTCCACTTGTCATCCTTGCACACGTAGGCTCCCACCACTTGCGGCTTGGCACCCTCGTGCCGCGAGGCTACCGGCACGAGGGCAGCAGCGAGTTGCTTGTGCGCCAGGTCTGGCCCGGCGATTTGGTCACCGTGGTGCTCGACCCACCGCCCTCCGAAACTTCCGCGGGCGGCGAGAAGGTCTCGCCGGCAGGAAGCGAGCCGCCCCTCGAGGACCGAAGCGCCATGAGCGAATTGCCACAGGGCCGCGTCGTCCTCCAGCATTTGGCCACCGACCTCGTGGTGGAAGAGTGCGCCGCCCCGGTGGCTCCGGTCCGGCACGCTGGCAGCCGTCCTGCTCAGTCGGCATCAGCGGAACGCGAGCAGGCTCAGGGTCTCCGTCCCCGTCCCTGCCCATGTGCAAGCGCGCCCCAGGTTTGATTGCCCACACTTTAGGTGCAATCGCTCGAGCGGAGGCGCCAGAGGCTGCAGGAAAACAACCAACAGCTGCGTTCGCATCTGCAACGGCTGCAACGGCTCGACGAGAGCGCGCGCAAGGCTGACAACTCCAGCAAGGCGGCTGGCCTGGCTTTGGATCTACCGGCCGTCTTGCTCGACGAGTACTCTGCTGGCACGGCCGAGGCCTCTGCGCTCCTCGGTGCTCTCGAGGCCAGCAAACAGGCGCACGCGAATGCGGACGCCAGTGCGCGCCAGCGTCACCGGGGCGCGCGGAGGGCCAGAAAGCGAGTGCAGCCCACTAGTGAGCCGCGACGACGCCAGGTGGTGGACCCGCGTGCGCAGGCGCACGACGAGTTGTAGAGAGGGCGCACACGCAGGGGCCCGTCGACACACGGTTTTTGCACGCAGTGTAAAGTGTGATGATCTTAGTGTATCTCATGTCTGTGCATTTCAGCCCGGTCTCAACTCTCATAACGGCCACCCGCACGTGCGTGTCTTTCCCTCTCCCTGTGCGAGCGACGCGTCAGGATCCGCACCCCACCGCTTGACGTGCGCAGATCCAATCGGCCGCGGAAGACTCCATAGAGTGCACTCCTGGAGGCTCACCGCACAGCCGTTTCTGCTGTCTGCTGTCTGGAGTGATCTGTCGGCGGTCAGTACGACCGATCAGGTCGGAGTTTTCTGATGGTTGGAGGGTCTATCTGTATGTACTCCTCGAGATCTTTCCAAATCTGCCCTCTGATTAACCTAGCTTAATCGGGAAGTCGGTGCTAATAGAGACTAATAGAGCCGGAGCCCCGTTTCCGCACTGCGGCGCGGCGCACGGTGCCTCCGGGGGGCCCCGCGCCGGCCCAGAGTCGGTGGCGTGACCGATGACTACGCTTCGCTGACGGATCACCTCGACGGGATGGACCCCCACGGCGTCCCTCCTACCAACGCCGCCCAGCTTGCGGCCAATGCCATGCACGTGAATGGCGAAAACCCCGCCGTTGGCCCTGCGTGGAAGAGCGAGCAGGCGTTCAAGAACCGCTCGTCAAAGGCGATTGCTGCGCTACGCCAGCACAGCGTCTCAGTACCGCTCGCAGCGCTCGCTGGCTGGAGCTCGACGCGATTGCGGCGCGGATGCGTCGCGATCTCGGCGATCCTGACCCGGGCGCTTACCCGCCCGTCGAGCTGTTCTTGTCGAGGCCGGAGGGCCTCGGTGCGCGCGGGGCGGCCGCGGAGGCGGCGTTTAGGCGGCTCTCGATCGAGGAGCGTGACGAGGTGGTCCCGGCGCTGGGTGGCGGAGTTCGAGGCCGGGGGAGCGGAAGGGGCTGCGCTGCTGGCACGCTGGGCGTGGTTCTGTTGGCGGTGTCCCATTCATTCCCACAGGGTGGGAGGATTGGGTGAGGGAGGGGCGGGTGCTCCTCTGGGAGGAGGCCCTGGAGGAGGAGTTGCGACGGTGATCGTGCCACAAAATTCTTCTTTTCTGGCAGCGCGCCAGAGCTGCCTCGACACCTGCTGCGCGATGCTTTCGCGATCCGTCGCCGCCGCGTCGCGCGCGCCCGCGCTCTCTCGCGCGCTGGCGCGCACCGCGGCGCCCGCGCTGCAGCCGCGAGCGGCGCTGGCGCGCACTGCGGCGCCAGCGCTGCGCAGCTTCGCCTCCACCACCTTCCTGAGCGAGGAAGAGGTGACCGACAGGGTCCTGGGCTGCGTAAAGACGTTTGATAAGGTGCACCCCGAGCAGGTCACTGTCAAGGCGCACTTCCTCAACGACTTGGGGCTTGACAGCCTGGACACGGTCGAGGTGGTGATGGCGTTCGAGGACGAGTTTGTCATTGAGATTCAAGACGCCGACGCTGAAAAGATCCTGACGTGCGAGGACGCGATCAAGTACATTATGACGCACCCGACCGCCAAGTAGGACGCGGGCCCGCGCACCCTGCCCGTGCGGCCTCGGCGGCGGGGGCGGCGGCCTGTGCCGCGCCCACGCAGGCAGAGCAGCGGCCGGTCCTGGCTCTGGCGCGCGCGCTGCCGGCCGGTGCCTCTCAATGTCATCCGCGGGCGCGCGGTGTGTGTCCCCCGTGCGGCAGAGGCCTGGCGCCCTTACTCCGCGGGCACCGGCAGCTCAGCGCAGTCTGCCGCGTTGCGCCTGCGCAGGCTCCGGGACTCGCACGGGGGGTCGTCGGGGCGCGCCCCGCGCCCCGGGTTCGTTGTAGAGTGCGCGCGTGTCCGTGGTGGTTATGGAGTGTGTGAGGGTGGTTTTTTTCTTCTGTTCGTCTTAGTATCTTGGAGCACTTGGAGTGCAGTCCTCAACCTCACATCCAGGGCCGGGGAGCTAAGAAGCGCACCCAGCGGGCCGGATGATCGGCATCGGGTTACGGGCTAGAGAGCCCTAGCCCTGGGGGGGTGCGCGTTCGCAGGGAAAGGGCCGTAAAGTAAACACGGTTCTCCGAGGGTTAGCCCGCGACCGGGGCGCACGACAATTTCTCGCCGCACATTGCTCTCTCCGCAGTACACAGCTCAGCAAGCAGGCGTCGCACCGCTCTCTGGCCCGAGTCCCACCCCTTCCCCCTCCCCTGCACACTCCCCTCGCCTCCCCTCGCCCCTCGGCCGCGGCCCGCCCGCTCACTCACTCCCGGAGGGACTCGGAGCCGCCATTCGCCGCACGCCTGGGCCGCGCCCCGCCGCCGCGTCTTGCTCTCGGCGGCGGCCAGTGAGCGCCGCCTTTGCAACTCGCGTCAGATGGCGTGCGCCGGCGGAGGCTCCTGCTACGGCGACGTTTACGAAAACTGGAGCGAGGTTCTCTCCGACATCAACCCGTACGCGTTTGCCTTTGTCGGCACCGGCCTCGCCATTGGCCTGTCCGTTCTCGGCGCCGCGTGGGGAATCTTCATCACGGGCTCGTCGCTGCTCGGCGCCGCCGTACGCGCTCCGCGCATCACCTCAAAGAACCTGATCAGGCGCAGCGCATCGCACGCGCGTAGTCTGCTCGCGCACCTCACGCCGGGCCCGCTCACGCTCCTCCATCTGGCCCGTGCGCAGCGTCATCTTCTGCGAGGCGGTGGCCATCTATGGCGTCATCGTCTCCATCATCTTGCAGTCAAAGATCGAGCACAACGAGCCCGCAGGCACCGTCGCAGAAGGGGGGGGGGGTGACGAGCAAGGCGGGCATTTGGGCGCCCCAACCGCCTCCTCATCCCCCCCCCCCCCCCCCGCCGACTCCCGCGCAGTCATTCGTGCGAAGCCGGACGTCGTGAACACCATCGCCATGAATGCGGGCTACTCGATGTTCTGGGCACTCCACACACACACACACACACACACACACACACACACACACACACACACACACACACACACACACACACACACACACACACACACACACACACACACACACACACACGCACCGCAAACTCGCCCCCGTCCGACCGCCATGCACAGCGCCGATACGTGCCTGCGTAGGCGGGGGTTTGCTGCGGGATCGGCAACCTCGCTTGCGGCGTGTGCGTTGGAATCTGCGGCAGCGGATGCGCGCTCGCCGATGCCCAAAACGGCGCGCTGTTCGTCAAGATCCTCGTCATCGAGATCTTCGCCTCGGCGCTGGGCATCTTCGCCATCATCGTGGCGATCATCATGTCCACCACAGCCAGCTTCAAGGTCGAGTAGAGTGGCGGCGGCGGCGGCGGCGGCAGTGGCGTGCCCGCGACGCTACACCCCGCCACCTGGCGGCGGGCTCGCCTAGACCCGCGCTATCCGCCCCTTCCCTCGCCCCCGTCTCTCGAAAGCTCCCGTACAACTCGTACCCAGATTCCGGCGGCCCTCGCATTGGCATTGGCCTGCGCCCTCCGCCCTCGTCTGCGACGGCTCTGGGCTGCCGCGGGGCGGCACTGTCACAGGGGTTTGTGTTTGTCGAGCGTTGCGCTGCTAGCTGCGGGGAGCGCGGTCGTCGTTGCGCCCCCCACAACCACACGCGCAGCTCATAAACCATATAATGCAAAATGAAATTAAAAATGCTTTAACCCAAAGTACTCGCAACTCGGCACAGTGCTACCCGTCCCCCCCCCCCCCCTTTGGCTTTGCCTAAACCTCTACGTACGGCATTGGTAGTCACTAGCGACACTACGGCATTAGTCACTAGCGACACACGCATGTGCGCTACATCCTACAACATTGCCTCGTTGGGGTTGGGCTTGGGGTGGTGAGGCTATCTGTCGGGCTCTCGGGGCATGGAAAAGTAGGGTTGAGCCTAACGTTAGGAGCTGAACAGTGTTGCTAGTGAAGCTTCACGGGTTCGAGTCGTCAAACATTGAGCAGCGGAGGTGTGCCGAGGGGGACCGGGAGGCGGTAAGTCGTCGTCGCCCGGCGCTGCTTGCAGCACCATGGCGAGGGTGCTAAGAGGTTCCTCTTTTCCGCGCCCCCCCCGCAAGGCGCGCGATACACATAGTGTTAACAGTAACAACAGAACAACAGTGGGGCTCCCCAACAACAGTAGCTAACGTTAGGCCGACTGAACAACAGTAAGGAAGGCCTACCACAGTGACCCACGTAAGGAAGGCCTACCACACCCACCGCTCTGACAGGCTGAACGCGCGGCCTATTCCGCTCCGCACTACGACAGCCCTCCAATGGCGGTGCTCTCTCTTGTCTGCAATGTCGTCGCTGCGGAGGCGCCATCGGGCCCGATCTGCCACGCGATGGCTCCGCTGCTGGCTCGTGCTCTCGCGCCGCGCCTTGGCTCGGCGTGCGGAGTCACCCTCGCGATGCGGCGCTGAGCGACTCATTGCAAGGTTGCGGGCGCGGCGCATCGCCTCCCGCTCGTCAGTCTTGTCCAAAGCATGCCATTCCGCCCGTGCGGCCTCGAGCTCCGTGCCCTCGAGGCAGCCAGCAATGCGCCGTGGCGGCCGACTGGGGAAGACGTGCATTCGGCCGCGGCCTGGTTCCCCAGGCATGATGGGGACGGTATTTTGGCACGCGCCGTTGCAACGCCGGGAAAACTCCAGAGGCGGTGGGGCCGGAAAATTGGAGTCCACTCCCCGCTTGCGGAGCCTGCGGAGGTGGCGGGTTCTTTCCTCCTCATCCATCTCGTCCATCTCCAGATTGTCTGGCGTCTGAACCTTCTGAGAGGCGAGCGCGAGCCCGTTGTTCAGCCTGCGGCACGCGTGCGCACCCCGATGGGCCCGCGCATGTCAACATAAAAACACGCGAGCGGAGAGAAGGGCTGGGTGACGGTTGGGGAGGACGTTTTGAGAGATAAACCCGGTCTTTTGTACTGAGAACTCGTACGCTCGGGCCCACGCGTGTGGCGCTGGCTGTCGGTTCAGACCGGCTTCCTCATTCCGAGACACGGCAGCGGTGGGGTGGGGTGGGAGAGGGAGGGGGGCGGCGCACATCCGCGCGCGGTGGTGGGTTCTTCCCTCCTCATCCATCTCGTCCATCTCCAGTTGTCCTCCACCGGGCTGCATCGCGGAGCCATCGCGGGGAGCCAGCGGCGGCGAACTGAGCAGCATGGCCGGCGTGTCATTCTGCAGTCGATCGCCGCCGAGCGGCATAGCGGCGCCGTCGCGGTCGCGGGCGGCGCCGTCGCGGATAGCCAGAGGCGGCGGGACGGCGGGAGAGGGCGGTGGCGCGAGCGGTGGTGATGATGTGGCCATTGGCCGCCGCCGCGTCCTCTTTGCGAGCGCTCTCGACTTCCGTCCCTTTTTACGCTTGTCCCCCCCCTAGCTCGCGTGTCGGTGTCTCCGGTCTTTCACCGGGTCGGACCGGTCAGTCTCGGCAGTCTACTTGGGTTTGTCCGTCGCCGCATCGCCCTCGCGACTCAAGGTGCGCGCAGCGTGACCGCCGTGAGCTGCCCTCCCGACCCATGTAAAAAAATCCAAGAGAGGGGTTGGAGGGCGGGAGAATCCAAAAAAGCCGTCCAAAAAGCCACAAAAAGCCAGCGAGCCTCCCGTTACGCGATTGCCGCGAAGCGCAGCATGATGCGTGGCCAGCTTGGGAGGCTGCCGCCGCTGTCAGAGGCGGGCGCCACTGTGAGGTCTCGAGGGCCGACCGGCCGGGCGAGCATCCGCGCTGCCGACGACGTGCTCGAGGCTGACCTTCAGAGCGACGAGATTCTCGCATGCTTTGAGGAGGCGCTCGGCGAACGGCAGCCAGAGATGGGAACGGATGCTGCAGCAGGGCGAGAGGCGAACGCCGAGAGTGCGGAGGCCGCACCGCGACTCGAGGCTGCAGCAGAGCAGCAGCGGGAACATTCCTTGCTTGCACCGACCGCGGGGCGCGGCGTTGAGCCGGTGCTGCCAGACCCGGTGCCTATGCTGCATACGAATTCCGGTGGAGGGCGCAGATCGTGCGAGCCAGATGCCGGCGCCCGTCAGCAGATCGGGTCGGCAGCTGCGAGCATTCTCGAGCGGCGCGGCGATGCCTAACTTTGGTGCTTTGTGTGGGTCGCGTTCCCTTGGTAGCTGTGTGGTTGAAGCCCTCGTGCCGCTGGCTTGCCCCTTCCAGCGGCTGGCCCCTCGAGACTGTCGGTGCTTGGCGGGAGGAGGGGGAGAGGGAGGCCCGGTGGGAGGAGAGGGAGAGGGAGGCCCGGTGGGAGGGGAGGGAGAGGGAGGCCGTCTTGGGCTCTTCTCCTCCCCCCTCCCTGGGCTCTTCTCCTCTCCCCACCCTGGGCTCTTCTCCCCTCCTCCCTGGTGCTCTCGGCCTGATTACCGGAGCGACTGCCGGAGCAGACGCTGGGGGGACACTCGCGCCCGGAGGCGGTACGCACGACCCGGAGGCGTGGGGATGGGGGGGGGCCGCGCCGCCGCCGCCGTGCCGCCTTCTCCCGCTTTGATCTCCCCCAGCTGCTTCTCCTCAAATCAACCTGTGAGCTTGCGAGGCGGCGGGGGTGGGAGTGCTCTCGGGCGGCGTGTGCGAGCGCGCGCGGCGCGAGATCTCTGTCGCGAGGGCACGGTGGGTCGGGTGAGTATCTCGCGCGCTCGCACTATTTCACGTTAGAGCTCTATATCAGGCACTGCCTTTGATGCCTTTGCAAGAACCGCCAGCGGCGGTGGTCGAACCGGTTCGCGGTTCGAGCCGGGACCTTTTGGCTCCCGGTTCGGAACTCGCTTGGAGGGTTGCTTCGCTCTCGCGGAGCGAGCGCGGGCGCGTGGGTGCGTGTGCGCGTGCGCTGCTGCAAGGCGAGGCGAGGCGCGGTGCGGCGCGGTGCGGCGAGCCGAGGCGGGCGGCGGCGGCGCGCTTCCTTTTGCCCGGGTGAGGCGTGGCTTGCGCGCCGCGCGGTGATGACGCAGCACGCTGAAAAGTCCTTGGTGAGCCACCGCGGTGGCAGGGAGTGCGTTCTCAATCGATGGACAGGAGAAATCTTAGTCCCCGAGACTCGTAAAGAAATGTGTTTCAGAAATGTGGACAGCGGCGGCGACGCAAGCCTCGTCGCGGGCTGCTCCGGCTAGCGAAAGTCTCTGTGTGTGGACTAGAGACACCAGACAGGGTGAAGCGCGAGGGATAGTCTCCCGCGGTTGATGTCCACCGCCTTTGCGGTCACACAGATGCTCGCGCCAACTGTTGGGACGTGGCGGCCGCTGCCGCGCTTCTTGAGCTCGGAAGCGTGGAGGAGCCCGTCCGAACCGACACCCACGTCGACGAAAAGGCCAAACGGGGCGGCGTTCTTGACGACGGCGTGCTCGAACACGTCGCCCGCGCGCACGTCGGCGAGGGAACGCGGTGCGCTCGCCACGAGTTGCGGCGGCGGCGCGAGCTGTTCGCGCGGGTCGCCGCACAAGAGCGGGTCGCAAAGAAGCTCGACCAGCGCCGCCCGCCCGCCGCCAGGAGAGGCGGCGCCACCGCCGGGGGCAGGAGCAGCAGCGAGCGCACGGAGGCGCGCGCAGTCACCCTCGGCAAATCCCCCGCCGCGGCGCGCGAGCTGGCCAAGAGCGCCCGCGCCGATGCCAGCTGCCGCGAGCAGGGCTCGGGCCTACGGGTTCAACTCTCGTGTCAATCGTCTCCCGTGCGCTTTTAGGCGTGACTTTAATCGGGGCGTCGTCGCGCCTCGGCGTATGCTTCCGGGTGGACGCGGCTCGCGTCCAGCGGCTCCGCGAGCGGCGCACCGTCGGAAGCCGTGATGCGCAGGAAGCCGGCAATGTTGACGTACGTCTTGGGACCGATGCCGGGCACCTGCCTCAGCGACTCACGGCTCGAAAGCTCGCCCGCGGTGTCGATGTGGGCGCGCAGCGCGGATGCAGTCTTCCTGTTGAGGCCGGCGACGCGCTGCAGCAATGAAGGCGACGCGCCATTCACCTCGACTCCCACCGCTGCGACGGCGTCCTCGACGGCCGCATCCAGCCGCGCGCCGAGCTCCTTGGCGGGCAAATCGCGCTGGTACATTCCGACGCCCAGCGCGGCCGGCTCAATCTTGACAAACTCGGACAGCGGGTCGGCCAAACGGCGCGCAATCGAGACGGCGGCGCGGTGCTGCAGCGGCACATCGCCCAGCTCCGCCGCCGCTAGATCGGACGCTGAGTAGATTGAGGCGCCATTCTCGCGCACCACAGCGTATCGCAACCGTCCGCCGCCACGACGTGTCGCTGCGATTGCGGCGGCGACCAGCCTCTGCGCCTCACGGCTGTTCTGGCCGTCGCCCACCGCGACGGCTCCCACACCATGGCTGTCGCACAGCTCGGCAATCACGCGGACCGCCTCGTCCCACGCCGCTCCGTCGTGTACGCCAGAGCCGCGGGAGCCGCCAGCCCCACCGCCGCTGCTGCCACTGCCACGGGGCGGCAGCGGCGGCTTGACGGTGGCGTGGGCGGTAACGGAGGCGGTGCCCGCGGAGACCACCGCGAGCTTGTGGCCGTGTGCGAAGCCTGGGTCGACGCCAAGCACGGCCGTGCCGCGCAGCGGGGGCGCGAGCAGCAGCGGCGAAAGGTTGGCGGCGAAGCACTCGATCGCCTCGCACCGCGCCGCCTCGAGCGCGCGCCGCTGGACCTCGCGCGCAAGAGATGGCTTGAGCAGCCGGCTCCACGCCTCCGCGGCCGCGCCTGTGCATGGAACGAGGAGGCGGTGTGTTCGGACCTGCGAGTGGGTCGTGGGGAGCGAGGCCCTCGCGCCCTCTGCCAGGGCAAGGCAAAGGCGGTGTCCGCCGCCTGGCCTTGCGCTGTAGGAGCGGAGGGGCGGGCATGCGCGTGCGACAGCGGCGGCGACGGAAGCCTCGTCGCGGGGCGCGACGGAGAGCCGGAGCAGCTTGAGCTCGACGCCGCGGTGCATCGCCAGCCACGCGTGCGACGAGACCGCGCTGAGGGGCCGCTCAAAGTCCGCGTAGTCGCGAAAATTCTCGCCGCCGCTGGCCGCCGCCGCTGCGGTTGCCGTGCTCGCCTTCTTGGAGCTCGCGGCGCCGGCGCCGCCGCTCCCGCTGATCGATCGCTTGCCTGCGACCGCTGTGCATTTCACCAGCGCGCATCTGCGCAGCGCGCCGCGCGCAGCCTCGCGCACCGCGGGCGAACGAGCGGTCATCTCGGCCAGCACCTTTTGAGTGCCCTCACGCAGCGCCGCCTCGGTGCCGCCCTCGCTGGATCGAGCACCCGAACCCGCCGCCGCCGCGCGCAAGGCCTGGGAAAGCCCGCTATCGTCGATCGTCGCGCACCACATCGCCTGACGTGGCGGAGGGAGTGAAGGCGGGCACTGCTGGGCTTACGAGATCACAAAGCCTGGCGGGCCTGCGCCGCCGGCTCGCATCCAAGGGCGCGCGCCCGTTCTGCAAGTGAGCACGGCTTCGACTTGTGAGGCGCATAGACGTCTTCGAGCGCTGCCAGAGTGGGAGCCGCGCGCAGCGCGGCCTCGAGCTGGGCTGTCAAGCGATCCGTCTTGCGCAGCGCCGCAACGACCGCGTCGCACCGTGCTGCGAGGCTCGCCGCATCCCTTGACGCCGCATCGATTCGCCGCAGAAGCGGCGGGGCCATGCCACCGGTCTCGGGCTGCCGGTACCGAGCGATGAACGGCACAGTGTGTCCCTCGGCCAGCAGGCGGACGCAGCCTTCGACATGGGTAGGCAGCGCATCGAGATCCGAGGCCAGGGCGCGCACGGCAGCAGCGCTCAGGATGCCGGCGTCACGCGCGACGGGCGCCCTCTCGCTCGGCGGGTCGGCGGCTGCCTTCGGCCGCTTTGTGCCGGAGATGGCGGACGCGGTGGCGCTGCGCTTCATATGTATACACACACTAGTGTGGGACCTGCGGCGGACCACCCAAGACCCAAGACTGCTTTCAGACGCTTACGCCAATTTGGCCGCTTTGTGTATCTCGAGACCTCGAGAGAAGGCCGCCCGCAGGCGGCCGGGCGCAGGTTCGGGGAAAAGGGCCCTCCTGTGTCGCCTCCAGCGCGCTCACGCTCAGTGCTCCAGCTTCGGCCGAAGAACCGCCGCAACCGGTGCGGCCCGTTCCCCGGGCTGTGTGGGCATCTGCCAGCATCGGTCACCGGCCGATAGGCGCCGCGGGTGAGGCGGCGCGGGCGGCGCTTTGAACGGCATGGGGGGCGAGCAATCGGAGGAGGGTCCAATGCCGACTGCAGACCTCGTGCAGCGCTGGCTCAGGGCCGAGCGGGACCCTGAGCTAGAGACAGAACTACACCTGGGCCTGGACGCGCTAGTGAAGAAGCTCGCCGAGTTTGCAGAGGAGGAGGAGCTCAAGCTCGACGGGCCAATTGTGGCGGAGGATGTTGAGCGCTGCACGAGGAGGCTCTTGCCGTCACCGGCCGGCCTGATGGCGATCGCATCCTGCCTACTCGCGACTCGGCACGCGACGTCGTACTGCCACGGCTTCAGGTGCGGCCGACCGAGCGCCACGGCGGCCTCGAGCACGAGCGGAGCGCGAGCCGACAGCGCAGCCTTTGTTTCGCCCGCGTCGCGATTGAGTGCGTCGCGGCGATTCTGAATCTGCTCTGCAATGGTGGCCGCCTGCGCCCCGAGGGCTTGCCCGTGGGCCGCATGGTTCCTGGACATCCGGCAGGCCGCTTGCTGCCGACGGGAGACCTCGGCGTGCTGAGCCAGTAGCTGCCGCAGCAACGCATCCCCCATGCCGTTCAAAGCGCCGCCCGCGCCGCCTCACCCGCGGCGCCTATCGGCCGGTGACCGACGCTGGCAGATGCCCACACAGCCCGGGGAACGGGCCGCACCGGTTGCGGCGCTTCTTCGGCCGAAGCTGGAGCACTGAGCGCGAGCGCGCTGAGGGCGTTACAGGAGGGCCCTTTTCCCCGAACCTGCGCCCGGGCCCTCCCCGAGGGCCCAAGTCAAGAATTGGCTTTTTTGGCGGGCAATACGCCAATTTTCCTTCAACCTGCGCAAATCGTGACCCCCAGAACTCGTGATACCCGAGGAGTCTCGAGCTTCAGCTGGCGAATCATGCCGCTCTCGGCACAGAAGCAGCGCGAGCGCCGCGCCGCGCAGCGCGCTGCCGAGGCTCAGGACGCGGCTCGCGGGCAGCGCAACCGCCCGGCGCCGAGCCGGTGCTAGGCCGCCTCCGCTGCGCCTGCTTCCTTGCGCGCCGCTGGACGTCGGCCGAGAAGACCGCTTCCCTCTGGGGACCCGACTCCGCGAAGATCGCGCGCGCGTCGTGAGTGGCGGCGCGCGCGCGATCTCCGTTCCCGGGCACGCCGGTCGCAGTCGCATGGGCTCCCAGGCTCAAAAGCGCTCCCGTCAACAGTGAGCGAGCGCCGCCGCTGCTCCTCCTCCCGCCGCCGCTGCTCCTCCTCCCGCCGCCGCTCACCGAGACCCGCCGCCGCCGCCGCCGCCGCCGCCGCCGCCTCGCGCCTCGCCTCCGTCACCGCCGCCCTCCATCTCGCAGCGGCGCGTCCCTCTGATGGCGCGGGCGCCTCGCTCACCGGGGCCTTGCCGCCGCCCCCCCCCCCCCCCCTTCTCGCGCCGCTCCGCTCGTGGCCGCCGCCTCCCCTGTCAATCCCGCCGCCTCCCCTGTCATCCCGCCGCCCGCACCACCGCCGCCACCGCCTCGCGCCTCGCCGCCGCCGCCACCGACCGCCCTCCCCTGCGCCGCGCTGAGCGCGGTGCAGGGGGTGAGCCCCCGCTGCGCAGCCTCACCGTAGTGCACTGCGCTCTCCGCGCCCCTGACGATTAGTGAGGAGGTGGTGTTGCACAGCATGGAGCTCGGCGAGCGTTTAGCGAGCCCCTATGGCCCAGGGCCGGCGGCGGTGAAGGCGTCCGTCGATGAAGGGATGTCGTCGAGGGAGCCATCGTCCTCCGCGACTGGTGCACCAGTCCAGTTGTCGGAGTTCGAGATCGCAGTCGCCCGTTGAAGAACTCACGGAATGTGAGCGACTTGGTGCACGCTGGGTCGAGCATCATGACTCGCACCTCATCCTGGGCGAGTTCCTCGCCCAGGGACCAGCTGTTGGCGTCGCCGTTTTGATCGAGCTGCATCCACTGCATGGTTTCGTAGTCAAGCGTAAACGCCCAGGAGTTGGTGCCTGGGTGACTTGCTGATGAGAGCGCCTTCCAGGCGGGTAGTCGTGCCCCTCACCTACGGTATACGGCGGCGTCAGAGGGGGGGGAAGGGGCGCGAAGCGTGAACATGGAGGCAAGCAGGTGGTGGGCACCTGGCCAAAGCCGGCGACCTCAAAGTTGTCGTTGCTTGTGCGGAGCGTGAAGGGGACCGGATCGGCAGCAGCGCGGGCGGCAGCGGCCGGAGAGGCCGGAGAGGCCGGAGAGCCGTCCGACGGAGGCCGGTCGTGCATCGGCGCGTCGGCCGTAGGGGCCGTGGGGGGCGGCATCCATCGCTGCGGGTCGCTGCGGGGTGCGGGCCGACGATTGTGGACTGATCGATCGTCGGCGGGCGGTGTTCAGGTGGGACGTTCTACGGTTAAAAGAGCGTCGGCGCGGACACGAGAGACTTATAAGGGAAGACACACATCTCTGTCTAATGATATAAGGGTCTTTCAGCGAAGCGCCGGACGGCACACGCCACCAGCGGAAGTGACCCCCAGAACTCGCGGACCCGAGGAGTCTCTCTCGGCACAGCAGAAACGCGAGCGCCGCGCCGCGCAGCGCGTTGCCGAGGCTCAGGACGCGGCTCGCGGGCAGCGCAAACCGCCCGGCGCCGAGCCGGTGCTAGGCCGCCTCCGCTGCGCCTTCTTCCTTGCGCGCCGCTGGACGTCGGCCGAGAAGAGGAAGTGGGGGCGACGGCGGCGGCGGAGTGAATGGCGGCGCGCGCACGGACGGCGACGAAATCGACGGCGGGGAGGGGCGGGGCTGCATGGCGGCGGCGGACGCGCGCACATTTGTCGTGCTTGCGCATTGGCACCCGACGTCCTCTGCGTGCGCGCGGGAACGGCAGGGGTCATTTCGCGCGCACCGGGCGGCGCCGTGCTCGCAGGTCGCAGCAGCCGGGATCGCGGCAGAGTATGGTGGAGAGCTCTACCCGCGCACCTGCCCAGCGATGAGGTCGACGCCGCTCCTGGCAGGCGAGGCAGGGATCTCGGCGACGTTGGAGAGCGGGCGCACGATGTCGTGGGCGACGCCCGTCCGCAGCCACGTCGTGGTGACGACGATGGCGAGGAGCATCACGGTGGAGAGGAGCGTCCCGGCGCTGCTTGGGCTCGCTCGAGTTTCCGGTATAGGCATGGGCATGGGCACGGCATGGGTTTTTTTGTTGTATCAGGGCCTGAAGGTGGACCTCCAAGATTTTTTTTTATTGTTGCATGCAGGGAATGCACGAGCCGAGCCGCCAGCCACAGCCACAGGGCCGGCGCGACACCGATGGGGTCGTTTTGGGGGCATGGTGCCACGCATGGGCTGGTTTGTGAGTTGTTTGGTCGGCGGCCGACTACAGTGCTTCCCTCTCACCGGGCCCACCACGCAGACGCTGGACCCACGACGCCGCCGCCGGAGTCTTCCCCAGAGTCGGTCGCCGACTCCGCCGCCGCTGACGCCGCGCCCGTCACCTTCGGCGCGACCGGCTTTGGCATGCCTCCACCTGCTCCGGGGCGTGCCGCCGCCTCCTCTTTTCTCATCGCCTCCTGCTGCTGCGCCGCCATCGCCTCCTGCTGCTGCGCCGCCATCGCCTCCTGCTGCTGCGCCGCCATCGCCTCCTGCTCCTGCGCCGCCATCGCCTCCGCCTCGGCCACGCTGGACGCGAACCTCACCTCGAGCGGCGCGACCGGGACGCCGTCCTCCGGCAGCCGCACCTATTCAAGGCGACGCGTAGCTTAGAGGCAAGGGCCAGCTTGCCTCACCCCGCCGGGCCGGGGCGGCGCCGAGAAGCCGGCGCGGCCGTCGCTCTCGGGCTGGTCGGGGTCAAAGCCGGCGAGCGTTGCGCCTGCGTCTGCGTCCTCTCGCATCGCACGCGAAAGCCTTGCCCCCTCCAGCGACTCTAGCGCCTGCACCTTGCGCGCCACGGAGACCTCCGAGTCGGCCGGCGCGGCCCAGAGCTGGAGCGGCCTGCTCAACCGGTGCATCTGCTCCAGCTCCGGATGGAGGAGCCGCGCGTGCTCCAAGATAGCGCGCTTCTGCAAGAGCACGGCCGACGCCGCGTCGCACCGCCCGGCGGCGCCCACCGCCTTGCCCGCAAAGAAGAAGCGCGAGCCGCCGTCTGCCCGCACGTACACATCGCGGCTGCACTCCCTGCGGGGGCGGTGGAGGCACTCCCTGAGGAGAGAGACACGCGCGGTTGGGGCTGAGGTACGGAGGGACCTCTGCGGGTCGAGCCGCCACAGATCCTGGTGAGCTCGCATCGCGACCAGCATGGCCTTTTTGAGGTCAAACGCGGCGGGCTTGGCGGGCTTGCGCTTCCCGGCGGCGGCCTTGCGCTTGGCGGCCTTGGCCACGACGGCGGACGCACGCGCGGACGCAGGCAAAAGTCCGGCGAAGGGAGCGGCGTGTGGCACGAAGGCGGGCACGAAGGCGGGATCGAAGGCGGGCACGAAGGCGGGTAGCAACGCGACAAAGGCCATATACTGTCCCGTTTTGCTGTTCACAGCTTGGGACGGCCTCTGCGGCAAAGTCAGATCACCCCACCTACCTCCACCTCCCACCTACCACACCAAACCTTCGGCTCCCGCTCAGAGGCTCGCCGCGCCCGTGCGGCGCGCCGAGGCGGCGCCGAGGCCGGCGCCTTGCACCCGGCCCGCGGCCGGCACCGCCTCGCCCCACAACTGACCGCCCTGCGGCCCCTGCGCAGGCGTACCACAGGCGTCGCTCAA